ATTTCTCTTATGCTCTTTGCTGTTCCTGTATTTACTTTGTTTTCATGGATTCTTTGTGATTTCTGTGTGGTTGCTACTACTTGGAATGTGTAATACTGCTCAGATTGATTTCGAATTCCTTTTTCTAACAGATGTTGATTTTAAGTCTGATTGTTGTTAATGGCAAATTTGTGTTGCAGTAGGGTTTATATCGGGAACTATGGAGTTCATAACAGGTATATATCTATTTTATACCTCTCTATTCTGTGTTTTCTCTGATAAATGGGCTGACTGTTTATTTATATATTATTTTGCAGAGTTGGATCTTTCGCCATTTACATCTATGCAGAAGAAAATGGTCATTCATTTTCTGTACAGGAAAGATGTGAAGTGCCATCTGTTGCAGCTGTGGAGGCTCAATGCTGTTGATTTGTTTTCAACCACTCTGTCTATGAGGGGTGATAAACTTGCTGATATTGAGAAGTGGTTGGAATTGGGCACAGAGCCACTGGGCGATGATGAAGAAAATCTTCTTGCTGAGGATACCCGGTTTTTTTTGGATTATGAAGAATCACTGTTTAGGAGAACAGAATTGCAGAAGGATGCTATTGTGAGTTCTGAACATGCTCATAATCAGGTTCTGCTATTTCCTGAAGAAGCTCTTCCTCTTGATTTGAGTTCTTTAACTCCTGAGCAGTCGGCAAGGTTAACTCATTTCATGCAACGTGTCGATGTGCACAACTATCTGCTGGAGATGTTAAAGCTGGACATTTTGGAACTTGTCTTGTCCCGATTGGAGGCAAAAATGTCTGCTGCTTTAGGTCAAGAGGAGATTGAGATACGGAGGAAAGAGCTTAATGATTTCAGCTCGGTAATTGACTTTCGTAACAGTGGCACTGGAGCAGAAAAGGACGTCATTGTCAACAGGGTGTCAAATGCTAGATATCCTGCCGGCTTTGCTCCCCAGATTCACGAGGTGTTTGTTCCTCTTATTTTTGTTGAACCAACTTACTCGAAATGGACAAATGAAGAACTAGAGCTTCTGATTGAAGCTGTGGAAGAAGTTGGAATAGGGAAGTGGGAGCTGGTGAAGGAAAGGAAGAACCTGTTTCGTAGTCTTTCTGCTATCAAAGCTCAATGGGAAACTCTTGTATCGATTGACAAGGGCGAAAGCTGGCTACTTGGAGCTCTTACATTTGAGCAATTGGGTCGTGTCAGGGCAGCCAACGTTGTGAAGGTTGTGCAGTAGGTTGGTTGCTGCTGTATTTTGTCTTCTTTCTTATCCAGGTATATCTTTCAGGTTTTGCTTCTTTTTCTTTTTCTATTTAGATTTGGTGTTTTTTCCAAACCATTATTACTGGCTGTGCTTTCCTTAAGTGTTTGTAACACCTGAACCTTTACAGGTAGCAGTAGGGAGACAGAGGAGAGCCTGCGGAGTGGAGTCTTTGGAAGCTGCAAGTGCTGGAAGGAACATTGTGGAGAGGATGGGAAGCTATAGTTGATTTTCTTTTCTTGTGCATGAGATTGTAGTGAAGAGGTTTAGCTTGTTTGTGTGGGGTTTTGGGAGAGGCTGTTCTGTTGCTCCTTGTTCTGTATAGATTTGGTATATTCCAAACCTTTAAGACTGGTTTTGCTGCTTTTCTCAGTGGTTTGAAGTACCTGCAACTTCAAATTCCTGTTTACAGGAATTCAGATCGTACATTCTATCCCTTGTATAAACTTCTTTTCAAAGTTTTGTGCTACTTACTAATCTGCATTTCAGTAGAGCCAACTGGTTATTTCTTGGTTCATCTCAGTGCTATGCTTTAATTTTTACTTTTTATTCCCCTTGTTTCTCATCTTGCTGAATGGTGTAGTGGTAACTGGTAACACTTGCTGTAGGTGATGTAAAGATTTAAGTGGAGGGGTCTCGTTGTTGGCCTGAATATGGTTCTGGTGGTTTTTCTTTTGGTTTACCATTATAAAAACTAGTTTAGTGGCGGTGTATTTTGTGAGTGGAGTATTGTGTAGCTATTGTATATTTTTTCTTTTGGCAAAGTAGCCTTGGTATATTTTATCTAGGTATAATTTTAGATACTATACAAGTGATCTCATTTAATTTGGTAAAGCTATGAATGATACCAATAAATACCTAAATCATAATGAACAAATAAATTAAAATATACAACTCATTTCTCAAGTATAAAGGTATATATGAGGAAAATAAATTATATATAAGAATCAAACATATTGACTACAAAAATATCATCCGTTAATGTACTGAATCAATTAGCATAAGGATATAATAGTTTGACAACTTAATAATAGTCAATCATTCGAATCGTAACCAAATCGGTTTTATTGTTTTAACTTGTTAATACATATTTGAAACAGATATATGTACATTATTTTCATTTTTGGTTTCGTTGTTGAATACTAATTGCAGAACATTCCCATAATGTATAGGGTCCATATCCTAAATGAGGATTAGACAACAAAATTAAGATCCATGGAGAGGTAACCCTTAATCTTTTATTTCTATCCTACCTGAAATCTTGACCAAGATTAGTCAAGAAAACAGATAGTATAATGTTAAAATATAAGTTATTATGGTGTGATTAAACTAATATGAGGATGTATGTTTTAATCTGCTTATCAATGATTTTTTTATGGTTATTGGTTAAATGAAAATTTCAATAAACTCAAACACCCTATAATAATTACTTAAAAATTATTATATGCAACTGTCACCAAACACAATTTAGTATTAAGATATTAGCACTATAACAACACTAATTGTACAAATAACCTATATTTTCCTTAAAAGAAAAGACTCTGTCTCAAAGTAGCATACCCTAAGACCTAAGTTGTTCAAATTTTATCTAATATCCAAACAACTTAGGGTAGGCTAAGTTGTTCAACACTAACAAACCGTTTCATTTCATTTTGGCGAAATTTACTATTGGGTTTTGAATTACCCTATCAAACATCTACGTCACATTTATTAGCATAATTATGCATCTCTTTTTTTTTATTACCCAGGAACTTCAACCCCACATGCCACTTTTGTGACAGGCTGACAGCGTTGTCTACTAAACCTACCTCAACCCCACATGCCACTTTGTGGCAGCGTTGTCTACTAAACCTGGGGAGTACCTGCATCAGCAAAATTTCAAGGCCTAGCATCCGATACTAGGAGGAGACTTTGTCTCCAGCACTCGTGGTGCCTCCGGGAACACCAAGTGGTGTAGCGGGGTTCGAACCTGAGACCTCACACATCTCAAGCCCGAAAGACCACACTCTCAACCAACTTGGCTGTGTTACCTTTGGCAATTATACATCTCGTTTTATTTTGTAATAAAACATCTATTTTATCAAGTAAACTAGCTTTGTGCCCGGCCATTGGCCGGGTAAATTTTATTATTAATAATTATTCAACGGTATAATTAAATAATATTTAGTTAGATAATATTTTTTTGTCGATGTGTGTAATTATAAAATTGTGTTTCTAGGATGAGACTTATTATAGTTTCATCTGAATTTTGACACGATATCAATATGATTTTTCACTTAAATTGTTCTATCGTAAATCAATAAATTTTAATCCCTAAAGTAAGAACCTTACACATATTGCTTTGTAAAAGTAGTTAGCTGTTTTTGATTAATGAATTTTAAACTTGTACTACTTGGGTTTCTATGTATTTACTAATATACTATATTGTTTACCCAACAACTCAAGTTTGGACCTTATTGTTTGGTCCTTTTTCATATGCATTTCTTGCGAAGTTCCTAAATAAATCTAATAATATTTTAAATTTTTTGTAAATGATAATATCATAAAAAATGAGTTCAGTACGGAAAAGGAATAAACATCTCAGTATGCATAATTCAGCAATTGATTAGTTTAACTGAATTTTTGAACGTAATGTATATTTTCAAAATTAAGCCTTTGTCATATCAACTACATCCACGTTTTATTACTTATCATTTCATTATGATTTTTGAATTACATTATATCTAAAATAATATTTGAAAACTTGAGGATTTGAATTCTTAATATTTAATATTAGGATTGGACTAAACTTTGACTTACACTACACGTATACATGGGGAAAGAAAGATTAGAAATATAACGAAAACAAAGGAAAAGGAAAACCATTCGGTGTGTATTAAATTATGTGATTTTCTATAACTAGCTTGAACCCGACCATTTGGCCGGATGAATTTCAATGGTCTATGAAATATTTCAACCTTCTAAATTTTTATGTTTTTATTACCCATTATTTAAAATGTGTTATTTTGTACATTTGATCTATTAAGTACGATCTTTTGATTTTAATATACACATGTTAGTTCTGATTCTATTATAGAATTCTACTAAACAAACTCTAAACACTCAACCATTAACTTTTAGTATTTCATGTAAGTAACATATACTTCGGTTGAATATTCGTCTTACGAATATCCCAAAAAATTTTCAATCCAAGTGCTTCATTGTTACATAAAAGGTTTCTATCCCGTTAAATGACATTAAAGACACTCTTAATTAGGGATGGCAGTGGGTCGGGTTGGGTCGGGTTTTGCCAAACCCAAATCCAAACCCGCTGGGTATCCGTGGGTTTATGGGTAATCACGAGTTTTTGTCGTAAAAAATTTACAATAACAAGTTCTTATCAAAATTAAAGTCAAACATCAATCTCTCAATACAAATTATCCATATATAAAACATCATTCTCGAAAATTCAAGCAAATCACAAATTAACTATACAAATTGTTCAACGCCAATCTAGAAAACACAAGACAATGAAGCAAATCACAAATTATCCATAAATCTCGGTTCTTCCCCACCCCCGCAGGGAAGGATCACGACCACGTGGAGTTTTTTTTGGCAGGGAAATTCATTATGATTGGTTGAATGAGGTGCTCACGTGGAGGCACTGAGTGAAGAGAGAATTTGAAATGGAGAAGCCTTTTTTGGATAACTGTATAATATATTCTTTAGAAGATTTAGATTCTACCTTTTTCCGTTGTATATAAAATAATAAAATATAACTTTTTTACTTTTCTTTTATTCTTCTTCCTTTGACTCCTTCTCTCTTACTATTCAATTCTGCACATCAGTTCCAGATTAGGGATTTGCAACCCATCTCTTTCAATCAATCCATGCCAGATTTACAATCTTCTCAGCTTTAGGGTTGATTTGTTCTTTTCCGCTCTGGACGATCTAGTTTTTTTTTATAGAAATCTGTGTTTTATTCAGCTCTTATTCCATCCTTCTCAAGAAAAGAAAGGATGGCCAAAGAGGGCCTGTGGACCCAAAGATCTGTGCTGTCCCAATTACAATTCAAATGGGCCATGGCATGGGCCGGTTCGTTTCCGGTTCGTTTTGTAAATCTCCATCTAACCGACCCAAGCCTTGATGCTCGGGTTTTGATTTCTCGGGCGAGCACTCCTCCTTGCAGCCTCAACATCAATGAATTGGAAATGATGATCTGACTTGGTTTCTTAGCAGCTGCCATGTACGTTTCATCACCAAAAGCGCCTATCTCAACGCAATCCTTACAGTTTTAGGAGTTGAGATCATTGACTCCTGCTGTAGTGTGATATTTCAGCGTGAGGGTGTCAGATGAGTGGGAGGGGCAACTCCAGAGGCGCTAAGTTCGCAATTGTAGTAATGGTTGAAACATCTCCATCATTGGGGTTCTGCTATTCCTTGTTTGACACAAAAGAAACAGAGGGGTAGGGAAGGCAAAGACAGAAGCAGAAGGAGGTATTCAGTCGTCGAGATATCAATGGAAGAGGAGACACAGAGCATAACCAACTGAGACTAAGCAAAATAGGGGCTAAAATCCAGCAGCCAGCTTTCAGATTTCAATGGTAGAAGAAGAAACTGAACATAACCCTCGTCATTGAACAGAAAACCCAACTCAAATCTTACCTCTTGAGATTCACGGAGGGAATTTGACGGATGAGTGAAAGATGTAAGGCCTTTTTGTGGCCCTGGAGCAACCTGAAATCATGATAATACAGAAGCGGCAGCATTAAAAAAAGTACAGAAGCAGAATTACAGCATGAGAAGAAAAAAGCGCAGCTGCAGCAGCAGAAAAACAAAGGAAGCTAGGAAAAGAAGGGTTCTGACTAAGGTCACCAACAAAATGGAATAACTACATAAGGGCCAAATAGCAGCCAGGAGCATCAGAATTGCAGCACCACTAATACGTAAACATACACAAAAGAAACAGTAGAGGGCAGCAAGGGAGAATTGTTTATGTGGAACCGAGTTAAGAGTAGCAGGACTGCAGATGAATCAAAACAGGCCTAGGAGGTTTGCTGCAGGGCACTCTTAGACAATTCCATGAAAACCCGTGACATAGAAATATAGTATGAAAGCAATGTATTCAATGCCAACAAAAAAGGAAGTTTGACACAAATTGGTACAAAATTTTACAGATTCAAGTGTTTTGACTCATCTGCGGTCCTTGGACCTAAGCATGGAAGAAGTAAAGAAGCAAGTACAAAGCTAAGATTAACAAAAATGACCCGACTAATCCACCAAAAACATTTGCAATGACTGATTAACGACAAAGAAAATGGTCATAACAGATTCCAACGTTCTTTCGAGCTTATGCAGTTCCAGGATGTTCAGACCATTGAATCTGGAGTGGCAGGCGATTCGTAGTTGATGATATTCTTTCTGCGATCGGAGACAGTACGAAATTATGAGTAAGATGGGTAAGGACATTCCTAGCAAAGAGATTAAACATACTGGGTACTTGGCATACACACATGATAACAAAACAACTAACACACAAATGAGAACAATTTCATGGATTGCAATCCCATTGAGATTGAATATAAGGAATTAATTAGCAGAACCATAAAATAATCTGAGCTTTGCATCCTTAGGAAGTACAAAGATGTTTACAGCTCAACCATGGAAGCTTGCAGAGATGTTGTCTTTCCTCCAGGACCAAGAGGACTCACAACAGCAGTCCCATTAATAGTTCATGAAAAGATGTAACAAATGTTTTGTTATTTGAATTATTTCGTTGAGTGAAAGAAGATGAACGGCAGGTAGCCCAATGATACCAGCAGCTGTAGATGAACATCAAAATGTCATAATGAAGCTCACGTCTTGTTGCTTCTGAAAGGGCCTACTGGTTCTTTCCTAATAGTTGCTTCCTCTCTGCATGTACAGGACTGGGTGAAGGTGGAGGATCACACTACTTATGAAGCCATAGTAGCTGGCAACAGATGTCGGCTTCTGTCAACTAGGTTTTGTGGAGTCTATTAGGTTGTTCAATTCCACCCTTGGCATAGTTGCCGCTATAAATCTAATATATGCACTCTGCAATTCTATCTGCAAGTTGGTTCCTACTGTTTTGCTCCTTAATCATGCTCTATCTGTATATGTTTCCGTTGTCACAAATTTTACCACCTTATGCATTCTTTTTGTGTTTCGGTGAAGAGGGTATGCAGGGAAAGGGAAAGTCCATTCTAGGATTCAATCTTAAAACCTTCGGATTGAACCACACCTTTGCACGCCAACTTATACTTCCTGTTTTTATGCCAAAATAAGGGCAAAGTTCAGATTTGATAACCGAGAACCATAGTTCTATTAGCATAATTTTATACCAAGGCAAAGAAAAAACTGATATTATAATAATAATGCAAAAGCAACAATTTGTTCAATTATCATAACCAATCAAAACAATAGTTGAGATAAGTAGTATCACTCAAAATAACATCTAAAATAAAAATAGTTACTTAACATTAATATAAGTAGACATAACAGAAAAAATAGATTATTTTTTCAATTTGTAGCATGAGATTGTACATGCTGCCTCTCAACTTCTCGTACCTTGGATGTTTTCCTTTTTCTTATACGTCGTACCTTGGAACTGGAGCAGCCCAACAAGAGACCCTTGGCAGGAACACAATGCCCAGAAACTTCTCTGTACTTTGGAATAGGATCACTACTGCTCTTGTGCATGGCTCGCAACTTCTCGAAATTCGGAATCGGAGTAGCCCAACGAGAAAACACCAGAGAGTACAGGACATCTTCTGACCCTTCTGGTTTGGCGAACAACTCAACCACTTCCTTCCTCAAATCGCTGCACAATACAACATTTGCATCACGGATTCCGTAGAAGTAGACAATTTCCGGCTTCTGTGGATGCAGAAAGGGTGTACCAAAGGCCTTGGGTTCATAGTTACAACACTTTGACGTACTGCTCACCAGCCCCTCGCATTGTTTTCTCCAAGATTTATGGTCTTCTTCCAACCTCCAAATGCTCGAGCGAAAAGGAGGAGCCTCGTTTTCTCGCGCTATTACGTGCAGAGCGTCCTGAGAGACTGCAAGAGACCAGCCCGGTTTCGCAACAAACTCAGAGACATCAATGGAAGCGGGAGGCATATCAAGCCGGAACGGATTGAACACATCAACGAATTCATCCTTCTTGCCGGGGAATTCTTTATACTTCCAAAACAACTCCCCCTTGCAAGAAACTACATTTTTTATCCCCCATTTCATATGACCATCGCGGACAAGAGCATCCTTAATCCATTCTCCAGACTCCGAACAAAACACGTCTAGTCTTATCGATACCGGCGTGAGCCGTTGATACATACAAACCACCCGGAACCTACTATTCCCAGATGTTTGGGATTCGCAAACTAACCTTGTGACCGGAAATAAATACTCAATCAACTTCCTGGGCGCCAAAGGAAGACCATGCCACTGCTTCGTCAACGGATTGCAGACGAGGTACGATCTGCCGTATTCCCCATTGTCGCGAGCTTTATCCCAAAACCCGCACAAAACCAGGTCCTTGTCGCAGTGCAAAACTCTGAGCGCGTCTCGGTCTTTAACCCCATTAGGCATCGGAGGCAGGAAGCTGAGGACGACGGATTTGAGATCGTCCGAGGTCATGATCTGGTGGTGAGAAACGAAACGGCGGTTGAAGGAGGCATCGGAGATGACGGACCTCCACAGCTGGCAGACGATTTTGCAGCGGCAGGCGGATCTAGGGTCCGGGAGGCGAATCAGAATCTCTACGAGGAGATCAGGGCCGAGCTTGCGGATCAGAGGATTTGGGTCTGAACCGATTCGTTCTCGTTTTCGGGAACCGCCACCAAGGAGTTGTTCGCTCAGCGGCGGATCCCGATCCAAGGTGCTGCATCTCTCGGTGGACATAGCGTTGACAGACGGATTGAAGGCGGAGTTTGGGATTGCAACATGGAAACAAAGAAAACAGCACGGAGCTCGAAGAGTTCTGCTTTTACCCTTTTTATGTCGAAATGCACTACTCCTTCTCCTTTACGGCGGCTGCTATGGTTTGGTTTGTTTGTTTTTTATGGTCACGGTTAAGGTTGCAACCGCGGGTCTGATCCATCGGTTGATCAGTTTTGACCATGATCTGATGAGAAAAACAAACCACACACATCCGTCGATCTACCCGTTGCAGAACTCATGTTTTGGATTTCTAGTGTTGATGTCTAGTGACTTTGTCTTGATTGGTTGTATTTGTATATGATCTTTGGGGGTTAAAAGTCTGTTCCTTTCAGCAGCTGTCAGCTGAACTCATGTTTTTTTTTTTTTTTGTGGCGGAATTAAACTTATTCATTCATGAAGAATCAAAATTAGTATAAACAATTTAACAACAGATAGCAAATAACCTATACATCATAAAACCCTCTGCATTTGGACATAACTTTGTCAATGATTGAGGCTCTAATTCCATCCTGTTTGCAGTGTGTTGGAAGTGCAGCGTATTATCGTTGGACATGGCTTTCCTTCTTGCAAGCATCTGCCAGTGTTGCCTTCAGACTTTGGCATTGAGTTTCTCGACGAGCAACTTGTTCAAGATCCCCGGGTTGGCCTTGCCTTTTGATGCTTTCATTACCTGCTCAGTGAAAGACACATGAAATGACCTTTCTGAGCCATGAATAGAGAGGGTGGTGGTGCCTGATGACAGTAAACACAATCACACTTCAATTCGTTACCTGGCCGGCAAAATAACCTTGTAGCTTTGTCTTCCCGGATCTGTACTGTTCCAACTGCTTCGGGTTCTCTGCAATCACCTTATCGACCATCTTCTCAATATCACCAAGATCTGTTATCTGCATTGTTTTCCACAACAGACGCGAATAACTCCTCAGATAAACTAGCAGGGACTGACTGAACCAAGAGCTCCACCCACCCACCCACACTATGCAAGAAACTTGGTGAAAAAACAATAACTTGCCTGGACAAGGTCCTTTTCTTCAATCAGTCCCTTCACAGTTCCACCTTTGGCCAAGAGTTCGAACAGTATCTGTAAACGGTTGGAAAGTAAAACAGAAGACATCAGTTAGAACTGATCAAAAGCATTGTAGAGTGAACCAAGACTAGTTTTACCTCCTTTCCGATCTTCCCACTAATAGTCCCGCTTTTAATAGAAGCTATCAGCTCAGCCAGCTCATGGGGCACAAGTTTGATATCAATTATCGACAACTTCTCATTCTTCAGGTAGGCAGCAATATCACCCATGATCCAGTTTGCAGCTAGCTTCACATCAGCACCCTTCTGAATTGTCGCATCGAAAAAGTCTGCCACCTGATTCAGGGGGGAACAAGCAATGTCTTGTATGAAATGATATGATCCCAAGGGAAACAAACACCATGCATATTGGAGAGAACCCAGACTCGTAGATTTGAAACCAGGACTTACTGCTATGTCATTTGCAAGGAAAAGAACATCTTGCATGCTCAACCCCATCTCCTCGTACCTCCTACGTTTCGCTTCCGGAAGCTCAGGCAACGATTTACCAACACTATCTACATAATCTTTTGTAAGAACAACCTCAGGAAGATCTGGTTCGGGGAAATATCGGTAATCAGCTAACCCTTCCTTTTTCCTCATAGTAACTGTTTTCTGAACAAGAAACAGCATTGGATGAGTTGCAGGTGTATTTTCAAAGAAAACCATTCCCGCCCCTCCGATTATTTCATCTTTTCTTTGATCTAAATAATGAAATGAACAGTAATGATACAACCTGTGCGCCTTCTTCCCAAAGACGAGTTTCCTGTACTATTGAGTCCTGTTGCCCTTGACTATGGAGATTGACCTGCCTTGATATCTCGAAGTCAATAGCTCTGTTAATTGATGAAAAGGAGTTCAAGTTTTTTATCTCAACCTGCAAATAAAAGGGTGCAGCAAAGTATATTATAGAGGCCATGAAGCAAATCTACATCAAAATGAAATCATCAACCTTTAACAAGAATAAGTTGGCTAAATCCTAATATCGATAGGTGGAGGAAAACTATGGAGCTTATATAAATAACTGCGACTGGAAACAAGCTTCTTGCGAGATAAACAGATACCTTTGTCCCAAATTCTGGCTGTCCAATCGGTCGAATTGAGACGTTCACGTCACAACGAAGAGAACCTTCTTGCATATTACCATTACTGACTCCCAAGTACCGAACAACCCTTTGAAGTTCTGCAGCATACTCAGAAGCTTCAATGCCAGTTCTCATATCTGGCTCTGAGACGATCTCTAACAATGGGACTCCAGCTCTATTCAAATCAACCTGCGAAGGGTGATTGCTCATTTGTTGAGGAAAGAAGATAGTGCTAACAATGAAGAAACAATCACCTAAAACGATAACCACTTATTATTAGCAAAATTTATCAAGAAACAGGCGTGTAGATCAAAGAAGCAAACACAAGCAGATAGTAGCGAGAAGCTGGGAAACAAATGCGAAAGAACATGGCAAAAACACAAATACCTGCGAGTAACTCCCATTTCCTGAATGCATTAGCTTGCCAGCATCCTCTTCCATGTGAATTCTTGTGATACCAAACCTCCTATGACCACCACCAAATTCAAGTGGAAGATCCAGGTCAATAGAACCACCAGTTGCAATTGGGATATCAAACTGAGATATTTGGTAGCCCTTTGGAAGGTCTGGGTAGAAGTACTGCTTCCTGTCAAATTTGGAACTGAAAGAGAGCCTGCAATTCAGTGCAAGGGCTAGTTTCACAGCACACTCGATGACTTTTGAATTCAGAACTGGCAAAGCACCCGGAAGACCCATGCAAACTGGGCAGATACAGGTGTTTGGTTGGGCACCATAACTGTAAGGGCAACTACAGAAAGCCTTGGTTAATGTAGAGAGCTGGACATGGGTTTCTATGCCAATGACTGCCTCATAATCTGCACCAATTCTACTAACTTCATTCATCTGCTTCTGAGGAGGAACTTTGATTTTTTGTGGACTCTTCTGCTGCTGCTGCTGCTGCCTTTCTTCTGTGGCTGTCTGAGTATGTGAATGTGAGGTGCTCTTCATTGTGCAATACAAAACCCCATTCATCTTTCTAAGCAAAGCAGATGAATTCAGAAACAAAGGCTGAGCTTGGATTACGTTCCTGAACAATGTGGAAGCCATGTTTACAAAGTCAAACTCCCTCCACCTTAGATAACACGTAATTCTCTATCTGCACCTGCAAATTCATTGATTAAGAGATAAGCAAGCCAACGATTTTCAGAACAACAAACCATACCCCGGTGGCAGAATTGAACAACTTGAGACTTGCATTTGGAACCAAACATAGATGTCTGCAGCAATTCAAGCCTGAAGGTTCAAACAATGACCCATTTGCACCATCGGCAGATTAAAATCAAATGCTAACTCACATTGTTATGAAACACAAGAACACGGAGGAAAAAGTTCCAAACTTTTCAAACCAAACCAGGTTTTACAGCCGAGAATACCGACCTGACAAGATGAAGTAGGGCAGGAACAACAGCTGTCACCGTCCTCCGCAGAAGATAAAAGGCCGGCCGGAGCCCGGAAGTTTGTTTCGCCGAAGTCCAGTTTGTATACACAAATGGCTTGAGTTTACTATCTTTGCTCTAAAATTTGAAAAGAAGAGAAATCTTCTTATGCTTCCCTTCTCCTTCTTCTTCGTTTCTGTCAAGTAGGAGTGGACGGGAAGGGATGGAGAGGCCGGAGAGGAAGAAGTCGGCGACGCCGATTGTGGAGGCCGGAGGAACTACGGCCACTCGAAAGGATGGAGGTGATTACGTCTGGTTTCGATCGGAGGTCGGATTGGATATGGTGGGAAAACACTCATGGGCTGGGCCGGATTTAAGGCAGCTCGAGAGGCCCAACGAAATTGAAAGTGGGCTGCCATGAAAAAGCTCTAAAAGGTGGGAGGGAAAATATGCAGCCAATCTGGATACAAAGGGAAAGAGGAAATGCTTCGGCCTTTTAAAAATTGTCAACATTTCAATTTTCAACAACTTATAGTCTGACGCTTATTGCTGGAACTGATGATTAGAAAAGGGAGAAGAGAAGATGAAAACTGAGGTCCACATACTAAATAGAGGGTACCGTTCGGAGGCGGTTCGCTAGAAACTGGATCAAATCGTAAAGCGTAGAACTAAATGAGTAAGAATTACTTAAAAACGTAAAATCGTAATGTTTGTTAAAATCAATAGATTTAGATGACATCTCATTAAATTATCATGGATGAGTCTCCTTATACCAAATGGGTAAGGATGACTTTTGTGATTTTGCTAGAAAATTTGTTATATCTAACACTCCAACCTTTTACGTTATAGTAGAATAGTCAAAATCTTTCTAAAAAAAAAGAATTAGTAGAGTAGTCAAAAGAAACATTAATGGCATTACAAGAACGTAAATTTTACTATATCTTAATGTATAGAGATTGTGCTAAAATTCATATAAATTAAATGCAATTTAGAATCTGGATAATAATGAAGTTATTGTGTTAGAATCTGGATCAACCATGCACAATACGAAGACCAACATGATTTGGAGCTTTTCTGTTGTGGTCATAATCTTGTTCTTATTGATTACTCCATCATTTCAGTATCAAGGGGTGAATGTTGATAATGTGTACAAGTGCTATGGAGATTGCATGGGACATTGTAATGATGGATCATGGCTATACGAATTACGAAATCAATCACAATGTCCCAAGTTGGAACTAGCCAATGATCCCTAAAGTGTTAGAGTATGTGTAGTACGAGTAGTATTGTGTTATACTACGAGTATTGTTATTTAATTGGTCAGAATTATATTCCTTATTAGAGTCTTACAAGTTAGGTAATTTTCATATTAGTGTTAGGGTTATTATAGAAGTCAGTCTCTGTACTCCATATAAACCCTAATATAGTATGTGTAGTACGAGTAGTATTGTGTTATACTACGAATACTGTTATGTAATTGGGAGAGTTATATTCCTTATCAGAGTCGTAGAAGTTAGGTAACATCCGTATTAGTGTTAGCATTATTATAGAATTCGGTCTCTGTAATCTATAATAACCCTAACACTAATACAGACATTGTCTAACTTCTACGACTCTGATAAGGAATTTAACTCTCTCAATGACATAACAGTACTCGTAATATAACACAGTACTACTTGTACTACACATACTCTAATAGTCAGTCTTTGTACTCTATATAAACCCTATGTGGTTTAAGTAATAATACACATGCAGTTTTCACCGAATTCTGATTTCCCAACACGAAGGCCACCAGGCTGAGGACTTTGGCGCTGCTACCGTAGACTTGACGAGGGGCGGCATTGTTGTGGATGCTGACCAACGGTAGCCCAAATGCGAGCATAAACAAAATGGTGAGCAATACAGTACTGAGCAGCAGCAGGAACCGGCTCCCGGCTTTGTCTGCCACGCGGCTGGAGATCATGGCACAGATCGCCTTCACGAAGAGAATCGTCTTGTTCGCTTTGGTCAACAACTTCTCATCGACTTCGTACAAAGCCAACAGGCTCTCCAGCTTGAGGTAGGCGTCGACCCCGAAGTGTCGAAGCGAATATACGAGCGTGGCGGAGATGGCAATGCGGCGCAACAGAAGTCGGGCGAAGTCCTTCCACATGAAGCGCAACGAAGGTATGTGGTCTGCTAGGTGTTCCATCTGAAACGCTAAGCTATCGATCTCTGCCGTGCTTTTCTCGTCGCTTTCCATGATCTGCTTCACCTCGTCGACCCTCAGCCTGGTTTTGATTAGCCAATGAGGGGATTTTGGCATCACCACCGTTCCTATCGTCAGCAGAATCGATGGCACAATGGGGATCACGAACAAACACCTATGTGTGATGCGGTCCGGTGAAAGTGCGAGTTTGTTGCAAATCACGTAGTCTGCGAGGACTCCAATGTTACCCCACATCTGCAAATTATAGATTACATAGACTGACTTCTATAATAACCTTAAAACTAATACGGACGTTACCAAACTTCTACGACTCTGATAAGGAATATAACTCTCCCAATTACATAACAGTACTCGTAGTATAACACAATAGTACTTGTACTACACATACTCTAATGGTCAGTATTTGTACTCTAATGGTAGAGTAGTCAAAAGAAACATTAATAACATTAAAAAAAGTAATTTTTATTCTATATCTTAGTGTATAGGGATGCACTAAAATCCATACAAATTAAATGCACATAGAATCTGGATATTGAATATTGATAAGGGAGTTATTGTTTAGTTTTCTTTCCATATTTATGGAATCAAGAAACTCTATAAAATGATTGACCAAACCTGATTCTAAGCACAACGGCCTCGAAAAGTTATAACTCATTTGGCTTTAGGGGGAAGATCAGCGAAGCACAACATGAAGACCAACATGATTTTGCGTTTTCTCATTGTGTCCATAGTCTCATTCTTATTGATTACTCTGACGTCAACTCAACATCAAGAGCCAAACGATGATCCTGTCTACAAGTGCTGGAGGATTTGCATGGGACATTGCAGCGGTGGAGGGTGGACCATGGGTCTGCGATGATGAATGTCTTAATAAATGTCGTCCTCCAGGTATGAAGAAAGATTCGGTAAGTATTGTAACAAGCATAGTTCCAAATAAAGCTAATTAGGAGTGAACCAGAAGTAGTTTGTTGTGTGCCAAATAATTATCTTCTATGAATATGATATGGTATCATAATAAAGATGTTTGTGTTATACGAATAAAGAAAGTAAAATCAGAATTGCAATTAAAAGCAAAACAAAGGAAAGCGGAACTATTAATAAGTATATAGGGGATCGAATTGCAAATCATCAATCCAAGGCCATAAGAAAATGGGAGAAAATCCAAGTAATTTAATTTCCTTCTTGATCACCAATACTAACGCACGGTTAGCAGAAATAAAACGGTTAGCACGGTGCTGAGCAGCAGCAAGAATCGGCTTCCTATTTTATTGGATGCAACTTTAAAATCTTAAATACCAAACGATCGTCAATTAACAACACATGGTATAATTGATTGTACCTTTAGTCACGCTCGTAAAAGTCGATAAATTTGGACGAATATCTCATTCAATCATGATGGTTGGATGTCCTTTGATCAGATGGGTGATAATGAGTTTTGTGCTTTTGCTACAAATTTATCATCTCTAAGGCTCCAACCTTTAAGTTTTGGTAGAGTAGTCAAAAGAAACATTAATAACATTAAGAGAATGTAATTTTTATTCTATATTTTAATGAATAGGGATGCACTAAGATCCATACAAATTAAATGCACATAGAATCTGGATATTAATAAGGGAGTTATTGTTTAGATTTTATTTCCAAAAAAACGAAATCAAGAAACTCTATAAAGTGGATTGCCCAAACATGATTCTAAACACAACAACCTCGAAAAGTTTGAACTCATTTTTCTTTGGGGGAAAGATCAACGAGGCGCAACATGAAGACTAACTTGATTTTGAGTTTTCCCATTATGGTTATAATCTTGTTTTTATTGATTACTCTCTCATCTCAGGATCAAGTGCCCAACGATGATCCTGTTTACAAGTGCTATCGACATTGCATGGGACATTGTAACGATGGACCATGGTTGTGCGATGATGAATGCCTTCAGAAATGTCGTCGTCCAAGTATGACGGAAGATTCAGAAACTATTGTAACAAGCATAGTTTCAAATAAAGCTTAGGAAGTAGTTTCTTGGTTACTAAAATAAGTATCTCCTGTGATAATAAATTGTCATTTAGCTACAATTTTTTTTTATTGACAATGGAGGCATAAAAGCCGAGAAAGCAGAAAGCAAGAGGTAGAGGAGATTACATGGGATCAAGGGAGGGAGGGCTATTGATAACATTCCAAGGGAAACAAACTCCATGTTCTTCATCTCTAAGGATCTCCACTAACTGGGATGGAGGGTCGACGAGTTTATGCATACCGTAGGGATAGACGAGACTGTGCTTCGAGAGCCAGTCCGCGACTCTATTCCCTTCCCGGTATGTATTAACTACGTTGACAAACCAAGCTTGAGCCAGTGATCGCCTAATTGATCCAAGAAGGGTTGCATATGGATGAACCTCGTCGAATCTGTGTCGAATCAACTCTAAAGCCAATTGGGAATCGGATTCCACAATCAGCAGCCTGAAGCCGCTTCTCCAGGCCATATCCAGGACTTGATTAATTGCCCAAAGTTCAGCTCGAGCTGCCGTACACTCCCCGATATTGTAGCATAAACCACTTAACCATTTCCTCTCGCTGTCCCGGAAGACTCCTCCAGCGGCGGCCTTCCCCGGATTCCCTCGCGAAGCTCCGTCAATATTCAACTTGATCCATCCCGGTGGAGGGGCCATCCACGCTATATCCACCATAACCCGGTCGTTCCGAGCCGCCAACTATCCCAGGATCGGGGATGGAGACTGCCACACATCGTGCCAAAGCTTGATTTTAATCCGAATGGCATGGAGAAGGGAGGCAGGAGTTAGCGCTTTACTTCCGTCGCTGAAGACCCCATCATTCTGATTTTTACAAATAGTCCATAGAGCGATGGAGAAGCACGTAACCCAAGGAACGTCTTGACCATCAATCGACTTATCCATGATATTACGCCGCACCCACTCGTCAGGATCCGTCGAGAAGAAAACCGCTTGTTGCCCAGCTGGAACAAGCCGAGACCAGCAATAGATGGAGGATGGACAGTCTCTAAGGAGGTGAATCTCTGTCTCGAGGATACCTGCACACTTATAGAAGAAGGGGTTAGGAGCAATGTAGTTGTTGAATCTCTTTTGGTTCGTGCTGATCCGATGAAGGAGGAGAAGCCTAGTGAGGTGGCACACATGCTCCGAAACTTGAAGCTTCCAAACACGATCCCAGAGGTCACTCTCGGTCTCATTTGGAGGCGGGTGAGCCAAGAGATAAGCTGACTTCACCGTGAACTTTCCATTCGCTGAGGGATGCTAGAAAAGAGGGTCTTTTAGTTTCGAGAGGGTCCACCGCTATGGCAGTAATCTTGTTGATTGTATTCGTCGATAGGAGGCCATGAAAGAGATCGGTTCTACACCGAGTGTCCGGGTCGAGAAAGGCCTGATCTAGTTTGTCGAGGTCTTCATCCGGAATGGGCCCCAGAGCCTTGTCCACTAGAGGAACCTGCAAACACTACATGTCAGTCCAAAATCTGGTATCTTTACCATTCAAAAGATTCCACGCACACACCTTCCGAAGAATAGGAGCCGCTTTGGATATACTCTTCCATGTAAAGGAACTTCCCAGTTTTCCAGCGAACATGGAGAGGCCCTCCTCTTTCTTCCATACTTTCCCCTAGCTACTTGAGTCCACAACGTCTCCTTTTCTCTTAGAATCCTCCACCCATTCTTAGCTAGAAGGGCCAAATTAGTATGACGACGTGATCTGAGCCCCGCTCCCCCACACGACTTTGGTTCCAACAGTTTCTTCCAACCAACTAAACAAAGCCGCTGCTATTATGCATACACATGCACAAAGAAGAATTCAAAACTAAGAACGTGAATAGCGAATATAACATATCATTATATTAATTTTAATTATTTAATTTCTATTTGTCGAGTACCAAAATAAAATGTAATAGAATTATTTTGTTGGTGAATTATCATTATTCTTTGGTCGTTGTGCAATAGAATTATTAAACACAACTAAGAAATAAGGTGAGAAGAAAAAATTGGAGAAAGTTTATCTTGTTTATTTGATCTGCATAATAAATTGTTATCAATATTGTTTCAAGAAGGAAAATTTTGGTAATTAATAAATTAACATTTAATATAATTTAATATACTTTAGTTTTTTAATTTCTTTCTATTATTTGTTACTCTCTCTTATCTTATTCCTCAACCACCACCACCATTCCTTCCTTCAACGCAGATTTCTCACCTCTCTCTCTTCTACAACGTAGAGAAGCGAATTGTAATCCACTTTCCTTCTTTTGTTTTTCTTCAAAACTCCGAGAACTCAACTCCATGCAACCGGCAGATAGTCTTTTTCACCCAAGATCATAGTTAATTACAAAATCAGTTGATTTTTTATGGGAACCTTATATTATCATTATTACTCAATCAAGCCCACTATTACAAGGGTTACGCAAAAGCCAAAAACCACACTACTCTTTTCTTTAATTACATCAAACAAAGCTACTGGTGGTCTATCAAATATCAATCCATACAATGGTATTGTTCTGATAGGCTTTTAGATGAGTAAGGCAATGGGTCGTTTGATTAGCCTTCGTAGGGGAAAAGGTACACGACACAATCCCCCCGCCAGTCTGCCCAGCGTCATCCTCCTCCCTGCTTACTACTCCCCAAATCTGCTCACAGATATTCCTACCTCCGTTCGCTCAAGAACCCTACACTGCAATTTCTCAACCAATCCCTTACAATCCGTCTCGACCATCAATGGTTTATAGTCAAACCGAAAAGCCACTCTAATCCTTCCAATATTGCTCGCGCCTCAGCCTCCTCAGGACTACAGCTACCCGCCTCCCTTCTCACAAATCCCAGCTTGAATTCACCATTCGAATCCCTCACCACACCACACCACACTGCACCTCCCATCCCAAACTCACAACTACTGAACACCCCCTGCATCTGTATTCAATTTGAAAACATCATCTGGAGGTGAAGACCAGATCTCGGAGCCATCTGAACCTTCATGCATGTTCCCCTGTTTCAACTTCTGGATGTCCTGGTAATCTTGTACCCAGCAGATTGCTCTAGGTATAATTTCAATTCGAGTTATTAGACAATTGGGAGAAAGAAAGATTGAAGAAAAGTTAATTTGATGCAACTGACAACAACATTAATTGGAATTTCCGGAGGCATTTTGGGGGACATGGTGAGAGAGCTAAGAGTCCGAGTAATTAACCTGTTTGTACCTCCTTGTCCGTGGATCGCAAATCGAATTTCGAAACTGTGATTGACCGTGTGGCCTTGGCCCTTGGGAATGCATTAAAAATGGGGAGAACGAATGGGCGTCGGGATTGAAGGAAGGAACAAAGAAGCAAAGACGGGAAAGGGAAGGGCAAGGGTAGACGCCGGGGATTTTTTCCGGGAGAGTTTTGGGAGATAGAAGGTGAGCGTGGGGTAAGATTTCTTGGACGGTTGTGGGAGAGCGAAAACAAGAAAGATAAATATTAACAATTACTGAAAGGCCCATCTGCACTATGCGGCCCGTGCAGGAGGGACTGACGTGGCAAAGCATGTATATTAACATTGCTTTATAGTATTTTGTAGAAATGAGAATTGCAAATCATCAATATAAGGCTATAAGAAAGGGGGAACTTCCATTTAGTTGTTGCCCCTTGTTCCTTTTCTCTTTTGGTTTGTTTTTTGTTGTTCTTTGGTAGCGGTTCAATTCTTGTGGACCATGTGGAAAACAATTCTTGGTTCTTCTCTCCTTTCTTGATAAAATTTCTATTGCCATTATAAAAAAAAATGGGGAAACCAAGTACTTTTCTTTTTTTTACCAATACTCTATTCCAAGACAATAGTCTCAAGCTCTACAATATATACGTGTCTTTCATTGTCAAGAATCAAGATTTTAATAACTTTGTCACGGGAAGCAATAGATTACTTTGAATTATAAAGTACTTGTCGAAATAGTGGTACATGTACAAATTATAGATTTCTGATTGAAGGAGAATTCTTGCTAATTTCCATAATGAATCGAATAAACAGATTGAGTTCTCAGCTTAACCTTAATAAGCTTTATAGTCTGAGTTAATTATAGAGAGGAGAGAGAAAGAGCGGGAAATCAAAACAAACTTAACATAATTACAATTAATCCCTATACTAACCTAATACACGTCTTCTAGTCCTAGTCATCTAACTGCTATATCTTTGAAATGTATACGAAATGGTCCTTTGTCCTAATAATTAACCCTCGCAAGCTAAACATGGATGGATTTCATGTTCAGAGACTAAATATGCTAAGGTATAAACTGGTAATGCTATGGTTAGAGGGTCAACAAGATGAAGGGTTGTTGAAATGGGATGAACCTTCAATTTGTTGGCCAGAACCTGATCTCTCGTGAAATGACAATCAACCTCGATATCTTTGATTCTTTCATGTTGAACAGAGTTCTCTGTCATCTTCACCTCATAGAGGCTATCACAATAAACCACGTATGATTGTTGAGGTTGAACAATGTTGTCATCCACGACAACTACTGGTAAGTGTCGGTCAAAGCTCGGTATTATGCTTCTGGCGAGGATCTCGATACGGTGTGCTGCTTCTTTGATCTTCAACTGATGAAAGAATTGCCTAAATAAATACAAAATCCAGTTACTGATAGTCTAGTGTGAAGACATCCATCCCAATCAGATTCTGAGCAGGCTGTGAGTATAGTGGAAAAGTTATTAGGGAAGAATATGCATCTAGCAGGTTAGATTTTCAGATAGCGAAGAAACATGTGTATGACCTGCTCATTTACAGTGGTTCGAGCATCCACAAATTGACTCAGCTGGTTATTGTATAGCAAATATATGGTCTGGTATGGACTATGGCACTTTTATTGACCTAGTGGACCCAAATCTTTGATTGTCAAAGCAACATTTAGCCTTTTTTTACCATTCCAATTTCTAGAAACTTGTTACCTGTTAGAATTATGTCATCAACATAGACTAACAAGGTTGTGAATGAGTTTCCAACATGTTTTGTAAAAGACAATAGTTACTATATGACTTGTGATAACCTAGTTGTTCAAAAGCAATGGTTAATAAGCAAACATTGACACCTAGCTTGCTTTAAGCCATATAAGGACTGAGTTAACTTGCATATTTTGTTCTTATCAGCAATAATAATAGGGAGACCATGTGGGATTTTCATATACATTTCCTCATTAAGGTCTCCATGAAGAAATGTTGTATTGACATCAAGTTCCTCTAAGAACCAGTTACAGATAGATGCCAAAGATAATAAAATTCGTATTGTGGTCATCTTAACAACTAGCTAGGAAAAAAGTGTCCAAGTACTCTACACTTGATGTTTGTGTGTTGTCTTTGATCGCCAACCTGACTTTAAACTTTTTTGACCAATTGGTTTATACTTGATTTGAAACATCCATTTACAAGCTAAATATGTTTGTATGGGGAGGATCTACAAGTACCCATGTCTTAGGTTTACATAGGGAGTTGAACTCAGAATTACATGCTTGTAACAATCTTTCATTAGTGGTTGCTTATTTAAAAGACTTTGGTTCCCTAGTCTTAGTGATATAAAGGGGATTTTTTTTATGAGTGGGACTTAGAGACCTGTAACTGCGAATGTTATGAATAGGATACGTTACTGAAGTGGAGGAAAAGTAGTGGAACTAAGAATGTTACATTTGTAATCTTTAAGACAAACTGGTTTAACTGGTTGTCTTGAAGATCTTCCCAAAGTTTGAAAAACCGGATGAGATTCTATCTTATTGTTTTGTATTGTTGTGTTATAAACATCAGAAGGAGAAATCACAGGACTGTAGGTGATGGCATGTGAGGAAGGACCTAATTTTTCCTCTGAGAAATCTTCATCAAATATGGATTCGAGAAAAACAGGAAGCACTGTTATAGAGGTAGGAGTAACAACAGTAGATTGGTAAGGAACTATGTTCTCATAAAATAAAACATCTCTGGAGATTAGTATATAATGCTTGACTATATTATAAAGTGTACGTATATCCTTTGGTATTGTGAGGATGACCTAAGAAAACACAAGGTTGTGCTCGAGGGTATAGTTTGGTTGAGTAGCTCGAATAGTAGAAGAATAGCTAGCCAACCGATCCCAAAGTGCTCTTTGCTTAGAGTAGTACTAAGAAACACCCAATGTACCTTGTTTCAAGTTGTAGATAACTTACTGACGATTGGCTATTCTGCAAGAATCGCCTTGTGAGAACTTCTCTCGTAACTCAGTCCAAGCATGAATCGGAGTGGTGACATAGAGGAGGCTCTCAACGATTGTTGAATTGATAGACCTCTGAATCCAACTTAGGAGAATCATCATTGGGCTGGGCAATTTTGCTGCTGAGAAACCCTAAATTTTTTTCTCATCATAACCAATACCATCGATCGTTCCCAGCTTGAGAATTGTTCTCATTCACCGGTTGGCCCCAATTTTACGATGGATGAATGAAGAAAGGAGAGGCACAATCAGAGATTGGAATGCTTTTATATAAAACACCACCATTATTGCTCCAGTGACCTCTGTTGTGAGGATTTGCGACTTCGTCGCCAGAAGAAGGAGAATCATGAACAACCATAGGAGGACAGGTTGAAATATCTCGAACAATATAGTCGAAAGTTTTTTTTTTTTTTACACAGAAGAGTTTTGGTGATTTAGAAGCGTAAAACGTAAATTTTTAAACGTGAAAGCGCGTTTTTAACTACATTAGTTATAAAAATAACAATTCTGCGTAGAAGCATTTTGATAAAATAAAAGCATAAATTTAAAAATTTAAAGTGCGATTTTAACTACATTAATCTAAAAAAGAAGAAAGAATCAAGAAGGAAGCGAGATTGTGAGTCGAGCATCAACTCATCAGATGAGCTCTAATATTTAAAAATATTAAAGCAGTTTTAGTTTTTACCCCCTGCCACGTACCCTCAACTAAAACGAAAGCTGTCCACGTCAGCATGTATATTTTCCGTTTTTTGGTTTTTTTTTGTTTTTTCCGCACGTGCAGCAAATTTCTCCCCTATCCTGTGCAGTATTATTTTCCTGGTGCAATGTTATTTATATATATTTAAAAAAAATGTGAATACCTACTGTTGTAAATGTTTATAGTAATTTTGAAGGAAAAAAAAAAAAGAAAAAAATCCCAAACAATACCACATGTCAAACCAGGGATAGACGGACTTATGTTTCATATTTTAGGAGGGAATTGTTTTTAATGCAATTGTAAGAAAAACATTTGCATTTGTAATTTTTTTCGCCATCTCAATTTTTTTTGCAACCTAACTCATACTACTCTAATGTAGCTAAATCAATGCAATTAATTTGCAATGGTATATGGGCATACCTTATTTTTTTAGAAAAATAAAAGGTAAATATGTTTATTATTTTATCCAAAGCTAAAATAAAGAATCCATGATGAGTATGTGGAATTGCTAGAAATGATAGCTTGCACTGTTGCAATCAACACTTCTATCAATAGAATAAAAATCTAATGATATTTCCATTTTCATGTCATTTTGTAATTGAATATGATAACTTGACGTGGATGCTCTAAACCAATTAAATAGAATTACTTGGTTCAAAATACAAGTTAAAAGGCATTCTCGACCACTCTACGTGGGGCCAACTAAGCATCCACATCAATGATATTTTCTCAATTGCATATCCTACATGGAACTTAATATGCAATCGCAAAAAGGATTGCATCAATGTAGTGGACAATTCCAAAGATGCAAGCTTGCATTAAATGAAATTTAAGATGAAAGCCACGTAGGAAAATAATAAAACAATAATTTATTTTTTCCCATGATTTATTTATTTTTATCTAATATAAAATCACTTAAACCGTCCTATGCAATTGCAAGTGAATTACATTGATAAAGGTGTAATAAAATAAACTTGAGTTGGATTGCAAAAATTTTGAGATAGCAATAAAAAACAATATGCAATGAATTTTACAATTATATTGATATGAATGCTCTAATCTTTGCACCATCCACCTTCCATTGCAGGTTTACAACAATTAAAATTCAAATAATAAAAAAAATCCTCCCAATCGACACTACCACCAAAACATAGGCACAAAACCAACTGCATCTCCAACCCTCATCACCGACAAAAGATCTTGCTACCTTCAAATAAAATCAAATTCAAACCCAGCAAATCACCGCATCTTTTCGGCCATTTCAACATCCAAACAACTGCCAATAACTCACACTCTACCAACGATGATGCACTATTTAAGAACAATGTATCTCGCCCAAGAGACATTGCGTGCAATATTCAATCTGTACACAACTACTATAAACGACAGTTCCATCAAAGCGAAAATCATCAACGTTTTGCAGCAGCATCTCATAACTCAACCATTTCAATCGATTATCCGTTCAGTTGTCGGAGGCGAAGAAGGGATTCCAACATGGGAGCATCACAATGGAAAACACACTGCTGGACAGTCTTGAAGAAGGACCTTTTCAAGGACAATTCGAACAAGAGTTTCCGGAATGTGGGTGCAGTGCCAGTGAACATCAAAACCAAAGTCCTCATGCATTTGGACATCATTTTGATGGTTGAAAAGGTACTAAATCCAAATCTTTACCTTCAATTACCAACAATTAGATCCTATGAAAACATCATTCATCTAATATAATCCTGACACCATGCAGGTACATGATTGTGCTTTTAGTGAAGAACGGAACCAATACAACTTACTTTGTAAACCTAGATCATTCCAGCAAAAAGATCTTCAGTGTCACAGCGGAACAACTACTCAATGTCAACAACCGTGATATGCTTTAATATTTTTTTTTTAAACATCTGAAAGTTTAAGCGAGTTGTAATGTACCAAAAGCATGTACATACACCGATACACGTAATTAGTTGCGTTTTAAATAAATGGAATCAAACATGTGGCAATAACACCCGGCCAACGGCCGGGCAACATGCTAGTACAATATATAAGATTTTTGCTTTTTATGAGAACGAATCGAATTACGATAGTGAGTTCTCAGCTTAAGCTTAATCAGCTTTATAGTCTGAGTTAATTACACAGAGAAGAGAGAAACTGCTGGAAATTGAAACAAACTAAACTAAATTAAACTAATTACAAATTAATATTTATGCTATCTTTTGAATGTATACAAAACGGTCATGTGTCCTAATAAAGATCGACAAGGTGACATAGTATCGAAGACTTGTTGAAAGGGACGCGCGTAGTGTTATTATTCCAATCGGAAGAAATTCACTTATTTTCAACTTACAATATATATCACTAATTAAGCTTAACAATCACCTAAGAATTTCCTCAGCTTTGTCCTTAACAGTCCGCCAGCAGAACACGAGTCCGAGAGCCATTAGGCCGGCAAGCAAAACATACACGCCGCCGATGCCGAGCGGCGCTATCAAACGACCTAAAACAAAGTACATGCATACTTCGACGATCTGGCCGACGACAACCCCGAAGCTAACTCCCTGAGCTCGGGCTCGGTAGAGGAACGCCTCGCTCGTGTAGACCAACGCCATGGGCCCTAGCCCGAACTCGAACGAGCCCATGATCCCGCCGAACGCCGCCAGGCTGAGGACCTTGGTGCTCCCGTGATAGACTTGAGGAGGGGAGTGGAAGTCGGTGAACGGGAGCCCAAACATGAGCAGAAACAAAACGGTGAGCACGGTGCTGACCAGCAGCAAGAACCGGCTCCCGGCTTTGTCCGCCACGCGGCTGGAGACCATTGCGCAGATCGCCTTCACTAGCAGAACCGCACCGTTCGCTTTGGTCAGCAGCTTCTCCTCGACTTTGTAGAGAGTCAGCAGGCTCTCCAGCTTCAGGTAGGCCTCGACCCCGAGGTGTCGAAGCGCCTGCACGAGCGCGATGGAGATGGCAATGTGGCGCAGCGGAGGTCGCACCAAGTCCTTCCACACGAAGCGAAGCGAAGGTACGTGGTCCGCTAGGTATTCCATCTGAAACCCTATGCGGTCGATCTCAGCCGCGCTTTTCTCGCTGCTTTCCATGTTCTGCTTTGCCTCGTCGACCCTCAGCCTGGCTATGATGAGCCAGTGAGGGGATTCCGGCATCGCTAACATTCCGATCGTCAGCAGAATCGATGGCACGATGGGGACCGCGAAGAACCACGTCTGTGCGATGCGGTCCGGTGTAATAAATGCGAGCTTGTTGAAGATAAGGTAGCCCACCAGGACTCCCACATTCCTCCACATCTGTTGTAAGAGAGAGAAACGATCGATTTATTTCACCAAAAGTAAAAAGTTACACTGTTCTCTTTACAGTATATATGTGTCCTATACTACCAATTTACAATACAGTACCTTAAGTAAACAAATATTACAAAGTGAAACCTATAACTATTCTATATACTAACACCCTCCCTCAAGCTGGAGCATGGATGTCAAGAGTGCCCAGCTTGGACACAAGGCCTGAAAACACAGCAGTAGGCAAGGATTTCGTAAATAAGTCAGCAATCTGATTAATGGTAGAAACATGTAACAATTTAATAAGACCAGATGCAAGCTTGTCACGGGTTAAATGACAGTCTAACTCTATATGCTTGGTACGCTCATGGGCAACAGGATTCTCAGCAATCCTAATAGCAGATTGACTATCAGAAAACATAGCTGTAGGTTTATTAAAAGACAAGTTTAAATCAGCAAACAGATAGTGTAGCCACTGTATTTCACAAGTTAAATCAGCCATGGCTCGATACTCAGCCTCGGTTGATGATCGAGAGATGGTTTGTTGCTTCTTGGATCGCCACGAAATCAAGGAGCTGCCTAAGAAAACACAAAAACCAGTTGTTGATCTCCGGGAGTCAGGGCAACCTGCCCAATCACTGTCAGAAAAAGCTTTAAGAGTAAGATCAGTTCGTGAGGAGAAAAATAAACCACGCCCAGGTGAACCTTTCAAATAATGGAGCACTCTGTGAGCAGCTGCCAAATGAAGGTCAGTGGGTGCACTCATAAACTGAGTTAATTGATGGACAGCAAACGCAATATCAGGTCTGGTATTGCATAAATATAACAAACGTCCAACTAATCTCCTATAAACAGAAGGATCATCCAAAAGAACACCAGATTTAATAGAAAGACGAACACCAGGGTTGCAAGGAGTAGGAACAGGTTTAGTGCCAAGCAAACCAGAATCTTGTAACAAATCTAACACATATTTTCTTTGACAGATTGAAATACCAGTTTCATTTCTAGCTATTTCAAGACCTAGAAAATACTTAAGATTGCCAAGATCTTTTATCTTGAAAGCAGCATCTAATTTTTGTTTAAGTGACTCAATTTCACTAAGATAATCACCAGCCAATATAATGTCGTCAACATACACCAAAACAGCAAGGAACAACCCATCCTGATGTTTAGTGAATAGAGAATAATCAGCTTTGGATTGAACATAACCAGCTTGTAGAAGGAATTCAGTTAATTTGTGATTCCATTGTCTACTAGCTTGTTTTAGACCGTAAAGTGATTTATTGAGTTTGCAAACAAGGTTAGAAGTGTCACCAGGTAGTTTTAAACCTAAAGGAAGCTTCATATAAACGTCCTCTACTAAATCTCCATGAAGGAAGGCATTATTTACATCAAGTTGATGTAAATGCCAGCCTTTAATGGAGGCTAAAGCAAGTAATGATCTAACAGTAGTTAATTTAGCTACAGGGGAGAAAGTATCTAAGTAATCTATTCCTGGCGTTTGTGTATATCCTTTGGCAACCAGTCGAGCTTTTTCTCGCTCAACTGTACCATTGGAATGAAATTTTACCTTGTAAACCCATTTGTTGCCAATGGGTTTAACATCTGGCGGTTTAGGTACGACAGTGAATGTGTTTGTGCGAAGTAGGGCATCTATTTCCAGATCCATAGCTGCATTCCATTTGTCATGTTGGGATGCCTCTTTGTATGTTTTGGGAACAAAAACTGTAGAAACAGCAAAGGCAAACTTGGAGTGGTGATCAGCAAGTTTATTAGTAGATAAAACAGAAGATAGAGGGTAAGAAATGTTAGAATCAAATACGGAATTACAAATGTAATCACGAAGCTTAAGAGGTTGTTGCCTCTTTCGTGTGGGACGAGGATCTGGTTCATCATCAAAAGATGGGGGATACTCAGGAGGAGCTACTCCATCGTCATCACTTGAAGAATCAGAAATGGAGGAAGGAGGAAAAGAAATATGTGGGTCGGGTGCCGAACCGGTAGAAGTCTCTGGATTATCATTAACACCATGAGATGCAATGGTATCCATTGAGGAGACAGAAATAACAGGAAAGACAAAATCAGAAGAATCAGGAGAGAAATCTTTTGAAAAGAAGGGAAAAATCTTTTCATGAAAGACTACATCACGAGATTCACATAAAGACTTGGTAACCAAATTGTAAAGTTTGCAACCTTTAGTTGCAAAAGGGAAACCTAAGAAAATACAAGGGTGTGCTCTAGGATCAAACTTAGGGCGATTATGTGCTAGAGTAGACATGTAAGCTAAACAACCAAATACACGAAAGGTTGAATAATCAGGAATACATTGATGCAGCAACTCATACGGAGACTTATTATCTAAGACAGGAGTGGGTAGTCTATTAATCAGAAAGGTAGCATGCAAGACAGCATGACTCCAAAAATTGGAAGGAAGAAAGGACTGAAATAACAGAGCACGAGCAACAGCAATGATGTGCTGCTGCTTACGCTCCACCCGACCATTTTGTTGTGAAGATGCAACACATGTGGTTTGATGTACTATCCCTAAAGAATTATAGAAAGTAGGCATATGAAACTCAAGGCCGTTATCAGAACGAATAACCTTAGGCTTAAGATTATATTGAGTTTGAACATGACTAATAAAGTAAGTTAATAAGTCACGAGCTTCAGATTTCTTATGCATTAAGTAAACCCAAGTATTTCGTGAGAAATCATCAACAATTGTTAAGAAATAGCGATAACCATCAATAGATGTCACACCATATGGACCCCATATGTCTATGTGAATTAAGTCAAACAAAGCAATAGAGTGAGACTCACTTACCATGAATGGCAAACGCTTCTGTTTGGCCATAGGACAGACAGTGCAATGCTTAGTTTTATCAAAAGAAACATTAGTATCTTTAGACAGAATATTGTTCAAAGGATTACAAGAAGCATGTCCAAGTCTATAATGGCTAATGTCAATGTCATGAATAGTGGTATCAAAAACAACAGAAAAAAAACTGGAATCTGGTGAGGAAGCTGTGATTGGGGCAGGAAGAGAGCTGTTGAAGGTAGGTGTGAAGCAATAAAGCCCACCAGACTCTCTAGCTGTACCAATCAGCTTGCGGGAGACCAGATCCTGGATGATGCAGTGATTATGAAAGAATGTCAAAGAGCATGATGTGTCTTTTGTTAATCTCCTGACAGAAATGAGATTGAACCCAAACAAAGGGATATACAACACATTCCTAAGAACTAAGGAACCAAACAGAACAACAGAGCCAATGTGAGTGACATGCACTTTTGCACCATTTGGAAGGGAAACATTCATATCATGAACAGCAGAATAGTGACTAAAATAATCTAAACTGGAACTGACATGATCGGATGCCCCACTATCTATGACCCAAGAAACCTCAGCTATAGGCAAATGACCACTAGCTAGAACATACTTACCTCCAGAGGAGGAGGGTGCTGCAGGATCAGTAGAAGCACCTCCAGTTGTAAAGGCATTGGCCACAGGGACATGTGAAACAGGAACAGAAGGCTGACTCATGGAAAACTGCTGAGCAACTAGAGCTCGGTACTGCTGCTGTGTGAGAACAACTGAATCGGAAGCTTGACTTCCGTTCTCAATAGAAACAGAAACATCAGTAGACTTAGACTCACTAACTACAGCATTAACCCTAGACTTTCCTTTGTAACCAGGGGGATAACCATGCTTCTTGAAGCATTTGTCAACAGTGTGACCAGTCAATCCACAGAATGAGCAGATAGGACGCTTAGACTGACTATGAGCTTTAAACTGAGTGTTCTGAACAGCACAAGCTAAAGGATTGGAATTAGCAGCAATAGAAACCCTATTCTGACGCTCAAATTGAACAATCGTGGAGAAAACCTTGTTGATAGGAGGCAGGGGATCCATCAACAAGATCGAAGAACGAACAGACTCAAAATCCTCACCAAGACCTCTCAAGAACCTAATAATCTGATCAGATCTCGCATACTCAGCACAGGAACACTTAGGGACACAAGAACAGGACCTAATCGGACGATATGTCATCAACTCATCCCAAAGAACCCTAAGTTTGGTAAAAAATTCACTCACAGACATGCTGCCCTGCTTGAGTGCGAAGACCTCGTCTTGAAGATCGGCGATGCGGACAAGATCAGCGATGCTGAAGCGCTCGCTGAGATCTCTCCAGACCTCGACGGCGGAATCAAGCCATAGGACGCTCTGGCCGATGTCTGGAGCCAAAGAGCGGAGGATCCAACCGAGCACCATCGTGTCGCACTGCTGCCAAGCGGTGTAGAGAGGATCACCCGGCGGCGGCGTCGGAACGGCTGGATCGATGAAAGCGAGTTTGTTCTTCGACAGAAGACCGAAGCGCATGGACCTCGCCCAGGAGTGGTAATTCGGCCCGGTGAGCACGATTGACACGAGCTGCGTCGTCGAGGAGTCACCGGAGCTGATGTAGTAGGGATGGTTGGGCGCGAGGGCCGCTGCGAGAGGAATCGGCGGCTGGAACGAAGGCGCCATCGAAGAAGGTTTCGAGAACAGAAACCCTAGAAGGAAGCGGAAGCAAAAGAAAACGAAGTCAGAGAAAGTGCTCTGATACCATGTTGTAAGAGAGAGAAACGATCGATTTATTTCACCAAAAGTAAAAAGTTACACTGTTCTCTTTACAGTATATATGTGTCCTATACTACCAATTTACAATACAGTACCTTAAGTAAACAAATATTACAAAGTGAAACCTATAACTATTCTATATACTAACAACATCTGTAATTATAAATGTGGTTTGTTAGTTAGGTAGGGCAGAACTACGTACAAAATAGCCTTCAAGAATTATGGAACTTATGAACCAATTCAAAGGAGTGCAACATGTTGACGTGACACTTAACTTGAAGCAGAAGCATTTTGATTCTTTAACCAATCATTTCTTCCCACGTGGGTTTTGTACTTTTGTTTTGTTCATTTAATAGTTGCAAGCTATGTCAACTATATATCTAGTGTCCGTCTTTCATTTTATTTCTCATATATATATAGTTGACATATAATTTAAAGAAAATTTTATAAAACCTACTGTTTCATATGATTTGTGTAGTCATTATTAATTCTGATTTAGACCAACTATAATTGCCCATTGATTATATGGCTACACACTATCGAGCCGAATTATTACTGTTTTCCCCTATTTTTCTAATTGTCGTTTGTACCTCTGGAAGTGACGTGTACTGTCCACGTCGGGAGTACGGAGCCTGCTCGGCGATGTAAAGCGGAGCAACCGTGAGGGCTACTCCGGCACCCAGGGCGGCGAACAGCTGGCCGGCCAGAAGAATGCCGTACGACCTGGTGGCGCAGCACTTGAACACGTTGCCGACGCAGAACAGCGCGCCAGCCGCCGCCAGAGGGTATCTCCTGCCGATGAAGTCGGCACAAACCCCCGCCGCCGTCGCACTCAAGATGGCGGCGACGTGATGCACGGCCACCAGTATGGTAAGGTGGCGAGCTCCGTATCCCGTATTTTCCGCTATTAATGGCCAGCCGTACCGATACTGTTGGAGGAAGGTCTGAAACTCGAGCTGCAGAGGAATGTGGCGCCAGGTTTCAAGTTTGAAGTTTAGAGTGTCTTGTGTCAAAACTGTGTCGTGTGGTTATTTACGCTTTGGTCACTTGTGTTATGTTTGTGTTCATTAGAGTCCAGCAGTTCAGTAGCTTTGTGTAGAAGGCAGTTAAGCTTGGAAGTTAAGGTTTAGGTTCAGAGAGTGATCGTGGGTTGTGGGAAACCAGGGTTACTGACTGGAAACGTCTCTGTATATAAGTGTCTATGCTCTAAATGGAATAAACTGTCAGTTTGCACACTTTTGAGTTTCACATTGTGGTATCAGAGCTCAAAGCAACCTGTAACCATCTGATTGAGAGAGAAATCTGCAGGAGACTGCAGATAGGGTAAAGGGAAACACGAGAGATCAAGTGAGGACCATATTTGGGAAAGAGAGGTTGATTCATCGTGTGAGTGTGAAGCATGGGAGAGAGTAGCAGTTTTGCTCAGGTCTGTATCCCTAAGTTTGATGGGGACTACGACCACTGGAGTATGTTAATGGAGAACTTGCTTCGATCCAAGGAGTACTGGAGAGTTGTGACTGCAGGAGTTCAGGAACCGGCTGAAGGAACAGAACTGACTGCAGAGCAAACCAAGGTTTTGGACGACTCAAGATTGAGAGATTTGAAGGCCAAGAATTACCTGTTCAATTCCATAGACAAGACCATTCTGAAAACAATCACCAGCAAAGCCACTGCTAAGGAACTCTGGGATTCCATGAAGATGAAGTTCCAAGGGAATGCTCGAGTGCAGAAAGCACAACTTCAGAGTCTTAGACGCAGTTTTGAGATTCTTGAGATGAAGGAAGGTGAGGCTGTGACTGACTATTTTGGACGTGTAATGGTAGTTGCTAATGCTATGAGAAACTGTGGTGAAAGCATGCCTGATGAGAAAATTGTGGAAAAGATACTGAGAACTTTGACAGAAAGGTTTAACTATGTAGTCTGCTCAATCGAGGAGTCCAAAGACATAAGCCTACTTTCTGTTGATGCTCTTCAGAGCTCTCTGCTAGTTCATGAGCAGAAGTTTCACAAGAAACCTGCTGTAGAGGAAGATCAGGTATTGAAAGTCACTTATGAAAGTGGTAGCAGGGGTGGCAGAGGACAAGGAAGAGGTTATTTTGGTCGAGGAAGAGGAAGAGGTGGAAGAGGATGGAGTAGAGACACTGTAGAGTGTTATAAATGTCACAGGCTGGGACATTACAGAAGTGAATGTCCAGAATGGAATAATCAGCATCAACAAGCTCATTTCTCAGCATCAGTGGATATGAAAGATGATGTTCTACTGATGGCTTGGATGGATGAAGATGAAATGGTATTTCATGAGGAAGAGAAGGAGTCTGAAGTAGCAATTATTCCCAAGATTTTCCAGTCAAAAGAACCTGAGGAACCTGATTATGCCATGGCTTTACTTGAACCAGCAGCAGATGAGTCAAGATATGATAGTTGGTGGTTCCTAGACTCAGGTTGCAGTAATCATATGACTGGAAATAAAGAGTGGTTTATCTCAATTGAAACCACAGGGACTGGTCTGGTGAAGCTAGGAAATGGCACAAAGTTAGAAGTCAAAGGGAGAGGACCAATCAGAGTGAAGACTGACCTTCAGGCCTTAGTGATTCAGGATACATATTATGTACCTGGATTGAAGACAAATCTGCTAAGTCTTGGACAACTGCAGCAGAAGGGTTTGGAGTTCTTAATCAAAGGAAATGTGTGTCGAGTTTACCATGAAACTAAAGGCCTGATCATGAATGTTCACATGAAAACAAATCGAATGTTTGTTGTTCACAGTGAGCTACCTGGTAAACAAATGGAGTCTGAGTTGCAGTGTCTTCAAATCACAGCAGCTGACACAGCAACACTGACTCTCTGGCACAGGAGGTATGGTCACATCAGCTTTCAAGGATTGATTGGATTACAGAAGAAAAACATGGTGACTGGACTTCCAGTTTTGAAAGGAACACCTGGTGTTTGTGCTACCTGTCTGGCTGGAAAGCAGCACAGAAAACCTTTCCCCAAGAAGAGTCAATGGAGAGCTAGCAGGAAGCTGGAATTGCTTCATGCTGACCTGTGTGGACCAATTACCCCTATCTCTAATGGAGGTAAAAGGTATGTTTTCACTATAATTGATGATTTTAGCAAAAAACTGTGGGTTTTCTTTCTGGCTCAGAAATCTGAAACCCTAGGAGTGTTTAAAAACTTCAAAGCTCAAGTTGAGAAGGAGGTTGGTGCAGGAATCTGTTGCTTAAGAACTGATAGAGGGGGTGAATTCATACTTGGTGAGTTTCAGACTCTATGTGAAGAAGCTGGCATTAGAAGACAGCTGACTGCAGCACTAACACCACAGCAGAATGGTGTTGCTGAGAGGAAAAATAGAGCAATAATGAATATGGTTAGGTGTTTATTATCTGACACAAAGGTTCCAGCAGTGTTTTGGCCAGAAGCAGTCTTGTGGACTACTCATGTTCTGAATAGAAGTCCCACAGTGGCACATGAACACAAGACTCCTCAAGAAGTTTGGACTGGTCAACCTCCATCTGTTGATCATTTCAAGGTGTTTGGATGTATTGGTCATGTTCACATTCCAGATAAGCAAAGAAGGAAACTAGATGATAAAAGTCAACCTTGTATCTTTTTGGGACTATCATCAGAATCTAAAGCTTATAAGCTTTACAACCCACTCACAAAGAAGCTGATTGTGAGCAGGGATGTGGTGTTTGATGAAAGTCAAGGCTGGAGCTGGGATAAGGAGGCACAACCAGTTGACACAAGTCTGGTTTGGGAAGGTGATGATGAGGATTGGTATGCCTCAGATGATGAAGAGGCTGATGAAAAATCTGATGATGCAGTTGTTACTTCCTCACAGTCCACAACAACTGCTACTTTAACATCTCCAACTCTAGAGACTAATGAAGAAGAAGAAAGTGTGGAGGACAGTTCTCATAATACTGATTCTGGTTCTACAAGTACTGGTCTTGGTTCTCGAGTCAGAAAGCCTCCAGCTCACTTGCAAGACTATGATCTTAACTATGCTGCAGACTGGTGTGCCATGGTTGCAGTCACTGAAGATCCTTTGACCTATGAGGAAGCCTCCAAAGATGAGAAGTGGAATAAGGCTATGCAAGTTGAGATGACTTCTATCAAGAAGAATGATACTTGGGAACTTACTGTTTTACCAGAAGGTGCAAGATGCATTGGACTGAAGTGGGTTTATAAAACTAAGCTGAAAGAAGATGGCTTACTAGATAAGCATAAGGCAAGAGTGGTGGCCAAGGGTTTTTCTCAACAACATGGCATTGACTTCACTGAAGTCTTTGCACCAGTGGCCAGATGGGACACAATTCGAACTTTCTTGGCTTTAGCTGCTGCACATGGATGGCCTGTGTTTCAACTTGATGTTAAAAGTGCCTTTCTCAATGGGACACTGACAGAGGAAGTATATGTAGAACAACCAAAGGGTTTTGTGATTGCAGGGGAAGAACACAAGGTCTATAGATTGAAGAAAGCCTTGTATGGATTGAAACAAGCTCCTCGAGCTTGGTACAGCAGAATTGAAGGGTATTTTGTTGCTCATGGCTTTCAGAAATGTCCATATGAACATACTTTGTTTGTTAAAAAGATTGGCAAAAGCATTCTGCTGGTAAGTCTCTATGTAGATGATCTGATGTTTGCTGGCAATGATCCTCAATTGATTGCTGCCTTCAAACAGTCCATGGAAGCTGAATTTGAGATGACTGACTTGGGGAGGATGAAATACTTTCTAGGAGTGGAAGTCAGTCAATGCAAGTCTGGCATTTTTATCTCTCAGCAGAAGTACACTAGAGAAGTCTTGGAAAGGTTTAAACTTCTGGAGTGTAATCATGTCAAGAATCCTATGACACCAGGACTCAAGTTTACCAAGGCAGGAGATGGAATTTTGGTTAACTCCACAGAGTACAAGCAATTGATTGGAAGTTTATTGTACATCACAGCAACCAGGCCAGACATAATGTATTCTGTGTGTTTGTTGAGCAGGTTTATGGAGAATCCTACAAGGCAGCATATGCTAGCAGCTAAGAGGGTGTTGAGATATCTTAAGGGAACACTTGGCTATGGTGTTTTATACATAAGAGAGGCTGGGGAGGAATCTCTGCAAGGGTTCACAGATAGTGATTATGCTGGTGATGTGGATGATAGGAAAAGCACCAGTGGCTATGTTTTCTTTTTGGCAGGCGGAGCAGTGTCATGGGCTTCAAAGAAGCAGCCAGTGGTGACTCTTTCCACCACTGAAGCAGAGTTTGTTGCAGCTTCGTTCTGTGCAACTCAATGTGTCTGGTTAAGAAGGGTTCTGTGTCAAATGGGATGGGGAGAAAGTGTGAAGGACAGCACAACAATCTACTGTGACAATAACTCGACCATAAAGCTCTCGAAAAATCCAGTCTTTCATGGTAGGAGTAAGCACATAGATGTGCGTTTTCACTTCCTAAGAGACCTGGCTAATGAAGGAGTTGTGGAACTGGAATACATTGGAACTGGAGAGCAGGTGGCAGATGTGATGACCAAACCTTTGAAACTGGAAATGTTCCAGTTGATGCGAGAGAGACTTGGTGTGTGTAATGGAGATGAAGTCGAGTGACAAGAATCAGGGTGAACTGAAGAAAGGAGGAGATTTCAGTTCAGGGGAGGATGTTGGAGGAAGGTCTGAAACTCGAGCTGCAGAGGAATGTGGCGCCAGGTTTCAAGTTTGAAGTTTAGAGTGTCTTGTGTCAAAACTGTGTAGTGTGGTTATTTACGCTTTGGTCACTTGTGTTATGTTTGTGTTCATTAGAGTCCAGCAGTTCAGTAGCTTTGTGTAGAAGGCAGTTAAGCTTGGAAGTTAAGGTTTAGGTTCAGAGAGTGATCGTGGGTTGTGGGAAACCAGGATTACTGACTGGAAACGTCTCTGTATATAAGTGTCTATGCTCTAAATGGAATAAACTGTCAGTTTGCACACTTTTGAGTTTCACAGATACGTCGCAAAATCTACGGACCAACCCCCAAAAAAAACAGAAAAAACTAAGAGAGTCAGATTTTACGTACGTTGGAGGAAGAACGTAACCATTGCATGCATGCATGGTTTTGATTAATGGGTTGGATCAGTCGGTCAACGACGACTTACCGTATCCCACGACCAGGAAGGAGAGCGACGCGGTTGTTGACAGCAGCGCCGGTTTCACCATCTTTGGTAGTAAGATGAAACGGTGAGAAAAGTCTGTGACGGCCGAACTTGGTGTGGCTGCTACGAAGAACTAGGGTTTGAGAGAGGAGGGAAAGTTATAAGGAAGAAGATGAAGCTGCATGCAATTGCATGCCTTTTCTTTGGATGATTCTCGTTCATATATATACACAGTTATTATTACACTGACGGTAGCTAGAGAGGACGATGGAGTATGGGAAGAGTCATATTTCATTACGGTACGCAAATACCGTTTTTTTTTTTTTTTTTTGCACAAAGGGTTGAAAATGCAGATAAGCCGTTTGATATCCAAACGTTGTAAACCTAAGCAAAATTACAAAAACCCTTTTCCCCCTAAATCACATAACGGTCAGATTTGAGATACGGGTTTTTGTCTGTTTTCCGCCATTGACAGTTGCTTCCACCAGTACGTCTCTTGCTTATTAACCTACCGGCGTCGCTATGTACGTAAACAGGAATCACGTATTATAAGTAGCACAGACGTAAGTGTGCATGCATATGCATGCATTTCATCTCTAGTCTTGTTTCTTATGTAATTATGGATTTCGTTTCGTGTAAAATGGAACTCTCCCTTCACTCTCTCTCTCTCTCTCTCTCTCTCAAGCAGAAGTCGTTAATATACCTTCTGGGTGAAGAAGTTCCGCATGTGATATATGAACAAATTAAATATGGTGATGATAGGGAGAGAAAGAAAGAGATGATGGAGATGGAGTCTTTGTTTGGGGAGTTAGGCGACGATCCGGTTTACACTAGATCGCGAGTCGGATCAGGTCGAATATATAATTTCGGTTCGGTTTTGGACTTTGGTCTATGAATTAATTTAAGTATAAATGAAAAATGGACGCAAATTGAATTTGGATCGGACCAAATGAGCCAAATGTTTTTTTTTGTCTAGTACCGGACCTCATTTTTCTTTGTTTTGGTCCGCTCGCGAGGTTTAGATTGGACAGCAATAGACCGAGTCGATTATAACATGGTTCGTTTCTTGCTCCCATGAATTTTATAAATAGGAAAGAAAAATGAAGCGAAATGACATTTTGTACCATACCAAAAAACACCAAATCAAACCGAAAGAAATGTTTTGTCCGCTCCTTGATTTCTAAGATTTCTTTTACTATTGGAACGCGCAATTCTACCGAAGCCAACCGTTACACACCCCTACCTCTTGTTCAATTGCTAGATAAAGGAAAATCTTGATCTTAGTCTTAGAAGCATTATCTCTAATCTTGTTCTTGTAGATAAATTGTATATCTTTAATTTCTTTCTTTTTTCTACACATCTTTAATTTCTTGATAGTATACTAACTGATTTTTTTTAATGACTACAGATATATAACAATATGTTCTTTTTATAATGGATTTTGATTGGTTGATAATAAAACCATATATCATACACACGTCACATATTTGGTTTATTGTTAAATAATGATAAATGTTAAAAGTGCCGGTCGATTGTGGACATAACTGGCATCATGGGCTGGGCCGGATTTAACGAAAGTCCAGGGGCCTGACAGAATTGAAATTGGGCCACAGTTAAAAACCACTCTAAAGTAAGGAGGGAAAGAAAACATGTCACCAGTCCAGTTCATCGATGGAAATAAAGGGATAGTCGAGGAGGATGGTTGGACTTGTACAGTAGTTTATTAGCTAATTACAATCATCTGAGTAACCACACTAATCAGCGTCCGACGCAATTGTGAATTAACCAAGTGGTAATTAAGAATTGAATAAACACATTCCATCCCCCGTAAACGCCTAACAAGACAATTTAACGTGTGAGAAAACACACACACAAAAAAAAAAAAAAAAACAGGGGACAAGAATTTCCAAAATCAACGTTGGACTCACGCTGCCTAACAGCCTAAGCTAATTCTCTGCTTTTGCCCGCCATGGGACCTATCTTTGTTGGGAAGAAGATGGCCCAATCAGTGGCGGATCCAGAAATTCTATATAGGGATGTCCTCTTCAAAAATTAAACTAAATTAAATATTAAAATTAAATTAAACAATTATTAAATATGAAAATATCTGACTAATAAAAGTTACATTAAGAGTTCAGACATGTTTCATAAAATGGTAAAATACATTCGGTGTCTATACTGCTCAACAATGATCTTTCGACATATCCTACTAGAAAAGGGTATCCAGTAATTGGGTTTAATCGTTAGGTTTTAAAAATAATTTGGAATAAGAATAACATTTTACTATTATATTTGAATATAGAACACAATAACAAATGAGTTGTAGTGTAATTGAAAATATGTTTACTAATAGTGGCAGTGTCTCAAGTTTAAATCACATAAACTACTACTAAAATATTATTTGTACTAATACGCAAACTACTATGAGAGGTTGGATAATCGTTTTCCCAAATTTTAAGGGTGTCCCACTACCACTTAAGCAATTTTTTTTCCTCATATACAAACTACTATCGGAGGTTGAATAATCGTGTTTCCAAATTTTAGGGGTGTCCCGGGACACCCCTAGACATGCATGTATCCGCCCCTGGCCCCAATGTTCCCTCCATATATAGCGAAAGGCCGAAAAAAGACAGTCCATAGGAGACGATCTCCGATACTATTTATCGTGAAATCGGGCTTCCTTCCTTTCCAGATCTTCCCCTGCCCTTCCAAAAGATCAATGCGTAACAAACACTTGTGTATTTTAACCAAGGAAATGGCAGATACGAATTAATTTGTTTCTGTAGCACATACTTTATAAGAGTTATTAACCAAAGTTATGGACATGTATGTTCGCCACCTTACGGTACTATCAAGAAACCTACATTGTCCTTATACCGTCTCATTTTGGTATTGTGTTGTCCGTATGTATTGATTGTCATTGTATCGATTAAACCGCGTACCGAGAATCAAAGTCGATGCAGTTTATAGCTATTTCAATTACCACTTGCCTTTTACCCACATTTTCAACGGTAATTAGCTTTGTTAGTCTCCTCTGTTTCTGCTTTCAACCATATACTTTCCACTTTGTGTAAGAAGTACTTTAACGGCAGCATTTTCATAGCTTTGAAGAACCCACTTTTTTCTTTTAACCACAAACAGTTAACTATATAGTTGAGGGAAAGGTGGTGGTCGGTCAGAGTACGTTACAAGTGATCATGGAGTTTCCTCACCGTAAGTTCATCACTTTGCCGTAAAAGCAAGTCAGTTCAAACTTCAAAGTAAACCGTCTTACCGTTTCTATGTTCTTCGCAGTTTGCAAACCACCTCCTCGAGTGCCCAAAAGTTGTTTTTTTAATCAACCAACGATCGTGATGAATGAATGAACATAATCTATTCCTTTCTTTCTCCCGTTTTTCATAGTTGCATTGAGGAAGCCAACTCTCCTTTTATGATGGACTAAATACATATATGCTTCCATTATGGTCTGGTTATACGATATCCATGAAAATTATTAACAACAATACAAATTACACTCGACTATGATATTGTTTTTTTAATATATATTTTACAATCTGACTATATATAGTATTGTTGTGATCATAGATTCATAATCCGATGAAGATAATGTTGTTGATTACTGATTTCAATCTCCAAACCTCTTGCATAGTGCATAGAGATAGCGATGCACATCCGACCTGTCACGACGGTTTCGATAGAGCCAGAAAACGAGAGCAAAAAATGAAACGAGACACACAGATTTAGGTGGTTCACTAACACAATGTGTGTTATCTAGTCCATGGGCAGGAGAGAGATAATATCACAATTTTTCGAGGAGATACAGATTACAGAGTAATATGAATGATATTTATAGTCCCGTGACTTCTAATCGTAATCAAATAGTCTGATTCAAGTGATATCAACTAGGGGTAGCTATTTGTACGGGCTTTTTGGTTTTACCCAAAACCGAACCGTATAACTCGGACTGAGACTGGACCGGGACCGGATAGCAAACAATCAAATCTCATCTTTGGGCCTAGATTTGAGGTAAAAAAACCCGTTCAGGATCGGACCAAAAATCGGATAAAGACCAGATAAGAGAACCAACACCCAAATTTAACCTTCTCGCCCTTTCAGACCTCAGGCTACTCAAATCTCCCATCAAGCCACTCAAATCTCCACTGGCTCAATCTAAAATCAAGACCAAATTGGGACCAGACCAGTTCAAACCGGACTGTATCCAATCCAATATTTAATCATTACATTCTCGAAAAGACCAGACCGAAACCGGATCAATTCATATCAATTTAACAGGACCAAACTGTATAGTCGCCCCTAATATCAACGCCACCCGATGCAACGAAGAAACCACTATATTTGGTGAAGGAATAGAACTATAGAAGTCAGGAATGGTAGATGACCAGAATGAAAAGGGAATTGGAAAGGCAACTTTCATAAAAGGAGCCCTAGCTAATCTAATGAGAGGTCCAACACTAAAGACCTAAGACTTGAGACTCCCTTAGCTTAAGCCCGTGATTTCAGACCATTTTGTCTAGTAATCATTCCAAAGCCATATTTCTCTTTCCTTATAATAATTAATCGGATTGGATTAGGTGCTAACCCATATAGGGGTTAGCACCGTGATAACTAGCAAAAAACGCTACTAAAAATAACGAAATCACTACGGATTATTATAAAATCAATATAACGCTACTAAAAATAACGAAATCACTACGGATTATTATAAAATCAATACAACATCTAAGCTAAATCACTACTAATTCAAACTAGTAGTAGTTTTTTCCTTGGTTAGGACGGTGCTAACTATTGTACAATTAGCACCGTAGCCGTTCCCTAATTAATCATCCTTTCCACTATTCTCTTAACAACCCCATGGGTAAACATACATACAGGAAAACAATAGAGTTGCATATTGGCCGGCCGTTGAATCACAATCTCGTTTAACCGTTGTCAATTTGTCATTGTAAAGTGTTATGTAATAGATATTTTGTTTGAACGTCAGGTGCTACAAGATCACTTCTTATTTATTTACTGATTCGATCTATAATTTTCTGTTAGGAAGTCTCCTATAGAAAGATAATCAACACTAACCTTCTTACAATAACTTTAATATACTGATTGATACTTTCCCATATTGATTTCTTATGGGCAACAACTTTTTTGCAAATGATAAAACATCAATTAGAGACACAAATATTCTGATTCGAAAACGTTAGAGTTGAAAGTCTATTTTTGGAGAGAAGGTAGGTGATTAGCAACTAATCATAAGTAATACGGTAACAACATTTCCTCAACTAAGTAACTTTTTTTAACCGTGCCCGGTTAATATGTCAATTCTGTTTTAAACCGTCGCAATTATTTTATGTACACAGAACTACAGAGAGATAATGAGAATAATACACTAAACTAAACTAATTCATATATATATATATATATATATATATCCCTTACACGTGGGCCTCCGCCGCACGTGCGTGGTGGTGGTCAGAACTCTGCCAGCGAAACATTTCTATGAAACTCCGACGACGGCGACCACAACGGCGGCGGCGCCCTCAGCTTCCGGAAGTACTCACTTATCTCCACACCCCCCTCCGCCGCCGGCATCATCCCCGGGTACGAACTCTCCGTCTCGTCCCGCGACGGAATAAACGGCGGCCGGCAAACCTCCGTCAGCAGATCCCACCTCACCCCTTTAAAAAATGCGTGCCCCTTGATCTCCGCCGCTCCGTCCGCGTACCCGAGCCGCTTCGCCGGGTCCTTCTCCAGCAGCCGCTCGATCAGGTCGGTCAGATCCTTCCCCAGCTTCCCGACGAACTCCGGCCGTTTCAGCAAAACGTTTCGAAACGTCTCCTTCCGGTTCCTCCCCTTAAACGGCGTCGTCCCGTACACCATCTCGTAGAGTAAAATCCCCAGGGCCCACCAGTCGACGGCGAACTCGTGACCTTCCCCTCGCACCACCTCCGGCGACACGTACTCCTCCGTCCCGACGAACGAATTCGACCTCTCTCCCCCCTCCTCCTCTGCCTCCTTCCTCCGGTGGCTCACCGGAGCAATCCTCGCCGAATTCGTCTTCTTCAACAACCCCTTCTCGTCGCCGACGGGGACCACCGCCGCCGGCATCAACCACCGCGCCACTCTGCTCTTCCTCGGAGGGAGAAAATCGCCGGCGTCCATCGATTTGGTTCTGTCACGAGACACAGGTAAGATTTGGTAAAACGATAATAAATAATTATGTAATGCATATGAACTACACTAAAATTCACTTATTGTCGTAAATTAATTTATTAGGTGAAATTCAATTGAAATAATTTCTATTATGAAGAAGAAGAAAAAAATACACACCTAATTTCAACTTCTGACTTGGCCGTACTTGGATTCTTCTTCCTCCGGCCGAGGAATCGGGAGAGGTCGAAGTCCGTGAGGGTCACGTGACCGGACTGCTGGATCAGAATGTTCTCCGGCTTGAGATCCCGGTAGACGATCCCCAGCTCGTGGAGGTGCTCCAGCGCGCAGAGGATTTCCGCCAGGTAGAACCTGGCGGCGGCGGGGGAGAAAACGCGGTCGTTTTGGCGGTGGCGGAGGACGTTGAGATCTCCGCCGGGGCAGAAGGGGAGGGCCCACGCGAGGAATTCGGGGGTCTCGGCGGAGGAGACTAAACGAGGGAGGAACGGGTGGCGGGAGTGGGCGAGTCGGGTCAGGACCCGGATCTCCCAGCGGGCCCGGCGCTCGGCGTCGGAGCGGGAGTGGGAGTGGAGGAATTGGGCCTTGTCGACGACCTTGAGGGCGTATGGGCTGGCGGCGGATGGGTCGGATGCGGCCCGGTCGTGGACCAGGAAGACCGTACCCATGGCGCCCTGCCCGAGGACCTTGACGGCGACGAGGTTGTCCATGTTTAGTTGATGGGTTGAGGAGTGGTGGTCGGCGTCGAAGTCGAGCGGCGGTGGCGGCAGTTCCATTTTTTTTGTTGTGTTCAGGCGATGGAGAGAGAGAGAGAGAGAGAGGGAGGATGGTTGGATTTGGAGGAGAAGGGAGGTTTGGAATAATGGGTTTTATTTATAGGTAGTTTTGGAGGTTTGGGTTTGGGATGGAGTGTAATGTAGGATTTGGCATTTTCCGGTGGGATTTCTTTTCCTTAGGAAGGGATCGAGCGAGTGGTGTGGTGTATTGTATAATTGTTAGGATGTGGTGGTGGTGTTTATTGCTACGATGAATGCACGTCATGTTGGTGGGCTATATAATGAAGTGGGCGCTTCGTCGGGGCTACTTTGGGGAAAATGTTTGTTTCTCATTTCAAATCCTTTGTTATGTTAACTCAATGGGTTTATAAGTGGAAGTACTTTTTGAAAGGGACATTTCTTGAGGTTACGACTCGCTCTCGTTCTTCGTGGGGCTGGCAGAGTATCCTCCATGGGCGCCAGCTCCTTGAAGTTGGGTTGTGTTGACAAATTGGTAACGGCCTTCCAATTGGGTACCAAGGTTACATCCGGACTCCCTGCTTATAACCTCCGGGTTTTACCAGAAGGTAGGGAGCCTCGTGTGGCTGATGTCATTTGTCAGGGGGTGGGCGGTGGTGTGCCAATAGCTTTAGTAAGTGGTTTGATCCGGCCACCTGTAAGGTCATAATGACTATTCCTCTTCCTTGTCAGGATGTAGAGGATAAACTAATCTGGCATGCCACGCCAGATGGGGTTTTCACGGTGAAATGTGCTTACCATCTTGCGGTTTCACTTGATAAACGCTCTAGGCGGTGGCGGGACATGGTTAGTTGGATGGATAGGAGTAGTTGGATCCGTTTATGGGAAGCTAATATTTCCCCGAAGTTGATAGTTTTTGCATGACAAATCTTTAATCACATCCTGCCTACTATGGAAGCCCTAATTGAGAAGAAGGTTCAGGTGCTTCCTCGTTGCCCGGTTTGTTGGGGTGAGTTAGAAACGTTAGAATATTTGTTCATTTATTGTCCGGTGGCACGAGCACTTTGGGATTAATCTGAGCTTGAGTACCCGGGAGAGGGTTTGCCACGTCATACCTTCCCACTCTTTCTGAAGCGATTGATGTCCCTTATTCATCAACCTTCTCTGTTCATGGCCGTTATTGCCATCCTCTGGAGGATATGGAAATCCCGTAATTGGCTTGTCTTTGAAGGGAAACCGTTTGGGTTCTCAACTCCGATGTGCCAGATTCATCAGCAGTATGAGGAATGGATGCGTCTGACGGTGGATCGTGCTCCGCGGGTTGTCGCCTCGGTGTCGCAACACTTACCGCACCCCTTAGGGCCATGTGGGCTTTTTGGGGTTGTTTGTCGGTGGGATGGGGCTACTAGGGAGGGTTCCCACTCTGCGGGTGGCATGGTTGTGTTGGATTCGGATGATAGGGTCCTTATGGCCAAGGGGGTCCAGTTTTATTCAATTGATGATCCTTTGGTTGTAGAGGTACTTGCGCTTTCGGGAGGCAGTGCGATGGTGTCTTGCTCTTGGGTTTTCTGAAGTTTGCTTTGAAGGGGATGCTAAGGTGATTATTGAGAAGATCCAGCGGGCGGTCAGGATAGCAGGAATGCAGGATGGGAGCTGTTCTTCAAGAGGTGGTGCAATATTTTGCCCTCCATTTTGGTTTGAGTATTCGATTTGTTGATCGGCGTAGTAATAGGGTAGCCCATTTGGTGGCTAGAAAGGCTCTTTCGTTGTATCCGATTACGAGTCGTTTTTTATTTATGTCCAAACCTGACTAAATTCCAGGATGTAACTATCTATTGTTTGGTATCAATATATGATTATCTTTTGTAAAAAAACAAAAACTCAATGGGTTGATCATAGAGAAGAGAACTCGTTTTTTTTTAACCATTTGAATCTAATTATGTGTGGATTGCTTAGCTTGCTTATATCGAGTATATTTGATTATATTGTGTAATCTAGGACTCAATTCAACTCAAATCTTGGTGATTCAGGTGGCTTTTTTTCAGACTATGATTTCATTCCTTAACTTGGATTACAACAAAAATATTGTTGCAAACAGAATGATATTAATAGTGTTCTACCGAATGATATCACAATCTTAACGTATCATATTCTACCTTCGGTAAACCTGCTAAATGTTTTGTACTTTGTAGCTCGAATCCTGTTTTAAGAGAATTTGCTCACCCCGTTTAAGCTTTTACCTTGATTGTTTATAGTGTTAACTATTGCAATATCGATCATAATTAGACCATGGCACCATATATGTTTGTATACGTGTGCATATTTCTAGTTAAAATGGTGGAACAATCAATTAACATTATCATTTTGGCTGCGCTAGCCTTTCTTTGGGTTTGTGCTCTCTGAGTTGGCATTACAAAGAATAATGTCCTGTCACAAAAATTTGTACGTTTCAAAAATTCCTCCAAACAGGCTCCAATTCCATTTCCTTACACTGTTCTATTTCCCTCCCTATGGTTAACCGGCTAGGTTCAAAGCATCGTCATTAGCAAAAACAATTAGGAGCTTAATTAATTATTAATGTTATGGTCTTCATTAGGATCTTAATTAAATTATTATGTTTCATATATGTATTTGAAGTGACATTTAAGGCCAGGTAGGGGCCATGATTAGGAAGTCCCTCTTAATTTGACAGGTTCCAGGCTGATATTGCTTTCGTGCGGGGAATATATTTGATGATGTATATACTTGGAGATGATGAAGAAGAAGAACAAGTCACAACACAACCCACAAAGTATAGTCCAAGGAACAATTTAAAATATATATGGCTGAAAATCATAGTCATTGAGTTAAGCAACGAATAATTAAATTTGGTGCTAGATAGTGCTTAATTAATTATTCTAGTTTGTATTGTTATGATAACCGGTAGGCCGGATGGGTCAAATCACCTCCTTACTACACTAGCAAATCAGTTCGTCCGTTCTTAGTTTGTACGATTAAGAACGGACTGAACTGTTATTTTATCGGTTTAGGTGTTGATTGTTTAGACATCGCTCAATTAATCTAAATGGTTCGTTGGTTCAATATTCTAATAAGCCAAATGTTATAGAAATTAAGTAGAAACATGAAAAACTAACCAATTGTAATTAGTTTTTCTCTCCACTTTCGCTTTGACTTTTTGTAGGTTTGCCCTTTCTATTTCCTTCTACTTTATACATACCTTCTCGATCCAACTCTGATTGATTGATTATACGAATGGTTTTATAAATAATTCATCAACAATTCTATAACGAGTCACCATTGACTATGAACCGCTAATTTTTCCAGTTCACCATCTGGTTTGATTCTTAACACATAGCTAATTAATTCGGGATTCAAATTAAAAAAGAAGATAATAAATATAATTTTTTTCCCTCATTAGGCGGCCAACTAGACATATATATGTAGCAGCAGGTAGCTGTCCAATAATTAAGGGCAAAGTATAGCGTGAGACTGTCCTTGTTGTCTGTACCATTAGCTTATATTACTATATTAATTACTCTAAAACTGTCATTAAACATTTAAAACAACAACTAATTGAGGATTCCCTATTAAAAAAAACAACTAATTGAAGATTATAAAGTAGCATTATTTACCTAATGGCTAGCTAGCTAAGATAGGCATATGAATTATGATCGATAAATGGTCCCTATATATCAATTAATCTCCCAAGCGTGATGTGCTGTTAGTTGCATAATCAAAGTGGGGGTTTGCTTTTATTGCGCTATTTTTTTCCACACCAAATCTTCCTTTTTTCTTCTTCTTTTGATTGATTTAAAATTTTCAATGAGATTGGAAATAATTAGAAAAGGGACTACACACGTGTAGGAAGCATACATCGACGATAATAATTTGATTACAAGAGAGGTTGTAGTATAAATATAATCACAGCTATTACATTAGGATTCATCGATATTTTGTAATCAGAATAAATTCAAAGTTATCTTGATATAGGGTTTAGTTTATCGAGTTTAGTTCGGCGATTTACGACTATTTTGTAGATATCCGATAACATTTATGACTCCACCACTATCCATATTCGCTAATATATATCCCATCCATTCTAATCTCATTATTTAGTTCAGATAGTATGAAACAAACGATCTGATCGATCGATATGTACAAATATTATAAACAAAATACAACATTGCTCGTTGCTATCAATATCATTTGCCAAACTAGCTCCATGTCCAACCCATCCTAATCTGAGTTTTGTTTACATGATATGAAATAAATGATCTGATCGATAGTTACAAATATTATAAACGAAATACACTATAACATTGCTAGTTGCTATCACTATATAAATATATATGTAGTCCAATTATCGAATGGATTTAAGTACAGTACTGCCGTTGTAGCCGTGGGCTTCGTCCCTGCTTCCTTTTAGCATAGAGCCAAACGGAGATATATAGACAAAAAGTGCCGTTTATAAAGAATTAAAGGTAGCCCCAAATCCCACATGGGGTTCCCCATAATCTAAGGGCACAAAAATGTTAATGGCTCTTGTCTTCTTGCATTGTAATGAGGGACTTGGGTTTCCTTGTTGGAACGTTGTCACCTTCCTCTCTCATATGTACTGAATTTTTTTTTTTTTTTTGTATAATTTAATTTATCTCAGAAACTTTTATATATATATATATATATATTTCAAAATTTAGATGCTCCATTAAAAAAAATACACGCCCTTTAGCTAGCTTCTGATAGCTTCAAAGGACAACCATTCCATCAGCACTAGATATCACAAATGGATTGGATTTATGGATTGGCGAATTCATGTAAATGGATTGAATTGGTGGATCATAAGTTGGATTCATGGATTCAATTGGCATCTAAACCTTGGACGATTGTGAAAATTTTGAAAGTTTTAGGTACTAATTTTTTTTGGAACAAACAAATAACTTTGAATGATATTTTTAGGTACAACAAATTTAGGTATCAAATTGTTGAATATACAATTTATATGTACTGAATTATAATTCTCCACGTATCTATGAATCCACCAATCCCAATTAGATTTTTATGAGATGAATTGAAATTAAATGAATTGCATTAGTTAATTTTTAATTGGATGGATTAGATTCAAACTGCCAACTCTAATCCGCACACTATTTTGTTCTTTGTATTTTTAGTTTTGAGATATCCTCCAACGAGATTGGTCCGTTAGTATTGCCCGACTTCCTTTTTAGCTTACCGTTTGACTCACGAGATTTTACTAATAACCTGTGATTTACATTTCGTTCCTCATATTATCTTCGATAATGTATCTTTTAATGATATAATCGGGACGCCTATTAATTCATATCATATTAATGTTATTATCATAAAGTGGGTAATAATGAAATCATTAGCCCTCTTCGGGGAATTTTTTTTTATGGGACATTAACCCACTTGTGGCCTGTGGCTCGTGTGGTGTTCTGTATATTAATTTAATTTAATTAATTATTAGGAGGCTTGCATGTGTGGTGCATTATTTGATTTGATGAGTTCGTGTGTGTTGACTTTCTACGAGTGGGTTTGGTTTTTATTTTGAGCTTGTTTTGTTTTCTTTTTGTTTTTCATGAATTTAGGGCGATATGTTCTGTCGCGCGCCATTAGTGCCTGATTTCTTGAATTAAGGCCTAAGGGGATTTCTTCTTAATTAATTATACTAGAGTAGGGCCCGACCCGATGGTCGGATTCATTTGGTCAATAACTTAAACAAAAGTTATAATTGTAGGAGACATGACACATTTTTGTAGGGTTTATAAAATAATTTAAATTATTTCATCACCAAAAAAATCAAAAAGAAATATACATCTATCATAACTTTTTTTAATGACATCCTAACGGATTATCGTCCAAAATTTTTATCAAGAGTAAAAAAAAACATGTGTAAGGGAAGTGATATAAAAACTTTATCAAACTGCATTTAGATTTACCTCGATATAAAAATGAATGCAATTTTTTTGGAACTTATTTGAGATTGCTTCCCCATCAACATCCTTATATCCACCAACAAAAGTGTACTTTATTCATTCAGTTAAATTACTAAAGAAGAACAAAAGGTTTACCTTATCAATTATCTGAAACCTCTCTATGTTCTTCCTCTCTAATGCTCTTAATTTTGTTCTCTCCATACTTGTTCTACATCTTCTTGGATTTATCAAGTCTCTTATGGGCTCTCTAAATTCTATAGTTTGATTTCCTCTAATTATTTATTATCTCATAGTCTATTTATTTTCCTTATTTTTGTCCAATTCTCCTCTAATGATATCTTTATGTTAATCAATCATGGATACCAAGATCCTCTCTTTCATCAAATGGTATTATAGTCTAGTTATCCTATCACCCAACACTGTCACTTATGTCGTTACAACTCATATTAATTGTCTTCAACGAATTTGTGGAATTTACATGGAAGGTTTGGCATATATCTCGGTGTCAAAGAAACAACAATTATGACCAAGAAGGATGGTGCAACTACCTTTTCGATGTTGGCATTGTCAATTGAGAATTTTTCATTCTGATTGTGCAGTGAGACATTTATTTTGTCGTAATGAATTCATTGCAGGAGTTGGATTAAATTGGAAGTGGAAGAGCGGTCGAACCTTGAAAAGGAAGTATATGAATTAGTTTATACCAAATATCAAGGAAAATAATCTTTTAGAGGGGATGTATTGATGAATTATTAGTTATTATTATGATTATCATTGAGGGTAAGAATTTTCTCAACCATTTTTATATTTTTAGCCATCCAAGCCTTATTGTCCCCAAAACTTAATTCTTTATTACATATCCTTGGATTTTTATAAATTTTATTCCTATCGCTCTCAATTCGCTTAATATTCATCTAGCATGAATTATTCTTTATCTCGTTGTCTATTTCTCTCCTTAGTTTTGGCCAATTCTCCTATACTTGTATCTTTCTATTAATCAATCTCGGGTTCCAAAATCCTCGCCCTCGTCATACCCACAACCTTCACCATAGGCATGCTTCTTCTTCTTCTCTTGCATTTTATTGAGATAAAATTTTTAATGATGAAATATAATTTATGCGCAAGTAAAAATTTACTTTTCCTTATCTGTCGAACTCACTTATAGAGTCTGCAATGTTGTAACCGGTGATCTTGATATGAAACTCCAACTCCATTGTCTCCATTTGTAGGAGATAGGGATGGGGATGTCCCCTCATTCTATCACTGGCTTGTGTTAGAAGTTAAAGGTTTAAGTACCCATGTACATATTTTTCTTTTCTGACGTGGGTTAGGGCTTGGGGTGCAGCCGAGTATATATGTTTGTGGAGGGATTTCGGCCATTGTAAGCTTCCGTGAACGTGAATAAATGGATCGTTGCATTTGAGGTACACATACTGATAAGTATTTTCAAATTCAAGTTGTTTTTCTAGTCATGAATATAGTAATTATATTTCCATAATGATTTATAATTATGCTAACTTAAATATCTTATTACCTTCAATTTTTAAGATCTAAATAAAGCATGATTTGACTGATTGAATGATTTTCCAAGGACAATATTTATTTGAGATGTAGAACTGCAAAAATAATTGCTAAAAACAATATGATATAGATACAATCTTAACAATAATTGAAATAAAAACATACTTAATGACTACATAATTGAGATGTACATCTTAGACATAATGATGTTGTCACTTTTTGGCATAATACTATGGAACTATTTGCCTCAATAGGCAGAACCACCTTGGAGGATAAGTAAAAATCACATAGCAAGAAATTCATGACAATTCAATTAACCATCCATCCCTAAGCATGTGTTATTGTGACTATATTTTATAGTGGATGATCTTTATAGAAAAACAATTTATTAGGGGCAATTTATCACAACTAAAACTTGAATTTTTATTCCATAGATGTAACATCGATTGAAACTTATTACAATTAGAAGGCTTCAAATCTAGGAACTAAATATTGAAAACACATTCATAATTAAGAAAGGAATTGTGGGGCTGAGTATTTTTACAATGATATTGATTAGGGATGACATATTTGACCTAACACATTTTATCCGGTCTATTTGACATGTTTTGGAGTAAATAATATCCATGGTACTTTCCTCGATCGGAATGATATGTAATTTTACTTAAACTAATTAGGATTTAACTTTTATGGCCTCATATTTTAGCAATAATAAAATTTTAAATAGGCGTGAATCTCAATACCTTAAATAATTCAAATACACTTATCATATTCTTGAATAATTTTTAGATTTGTATCACATAATAAATTATCTGACCTAATACGGACGAACATATATAGATATGTATATAATCATCGGCAATTTCTAATGCCGGATGGACTGATGATGCAGTGATAAGTCCAAGGTTGTCGTCCTGTGGGTCGAACCACCGGTTAATCCATTTTGATTTGGACCTGGTTAGAAAAATGGGCTACACACACACATCGGGTCGACCGCTGCAAGGTACC